GTACAATAGTAATAGAGCAAGTGCAGAATCACTGAACCGGAATTGATAGCCTGAAGCATTTAGCGCGGGGCCCTTGAAAGTGCGCGGCCCGTAGCATTATGAAACCTTTGCAACGAGGATAATCCTGCACTGCCCCCACACCACCCCCGGTGCAATACTCGAAGGTCAAATGAAGGTCGAACGAAGGTCGCCTCGCAACAGCGGCGCTGTCCGATACGGCTTCAGTGAGACGACGCTCTGCTCGTGCGCGTGTGGGCAGGAGCGCAGACAGCACCGGGAGACGCGAGGCGATGCCCGCTCCGAGAGAGACGCAAAGAGACCGAGACGCTCTTTAAGAGAGGCCCCCACAATGTGCTGTCACGAAGCCGTCCGGCACAGCGCACGAGGGTCTGGCGTGGCCAACACCACGGCCCGGCCGACGTTTTGCAACCCCACAACCACACTAGTGACTAATTTGAGGCTGAGTCTACCTTGGCACAAAGACAAAGATCTCCCGTACAGCCTGTGACGGACTTTCGGGGCAAGTGCCGTTTGTGAATAGCACCGATGAAGGCTGCCACGGCACGCGACGCATTGGGTGGCCAGCACCACGACCCGGCCGCCTCTGTCTCCCTCGAGACCGCACCGGGTACTCATTCGAGGCTGGGTCGACCTAGGGGAGGCCCAGGACCACTTCGAATAGTCTCTACTGGTGTCTTCCGTGAGCGGGAATCGAACTGGGGTCGCATGGTTCGTAGTGCAGCGCGCTAAGCACACACACGCGGGGACACGTGGTAACACGTGGCGTCACGTGGTCACACACGCAGTAGACACACGGACACACACGTGGGGACACGTGGTCACACACTGGGGGTCACGTGGACACACACTGGGGGTCACGTGGACACACACAGGGGGTCACGTGGACACGCGCGGCGTCACGTGGTCACACGCAGTAGACACGTGGTCACGCGCGCGGGGACACGTTTTAAGAGACTCCTTCAAAGGTAAACAAAACTGATAAAAAAAATGTGCCTTATTGATGTAACTTTCCTTACGCGTCAGAATTGTTTCTGGAAAAGGCATCAATTGGATATTGATACGTGCTGCTGTTGCCACCTGCTGCTTGCTGCTGTTGTTGCTAGCTGATGCTTGCTGCTGCTGTTGCTAGCTGATGCTTGCTGCTGCTGCTGATAGCTGATGCTTACTGCTGCTGTTGCTAGCTGATGCTTGCTGCTGCTGTTGCTAGCTGATGCTTACTGCTGCTGCTGATAGCTGATGCTTGCTGCTGCTATTGCTAGCTGATGCTTGCTGCTGCTGTTGCTAGCTGATGCTTACTGCTGCTGCTGATAGCTGATGCTTACTGCTGCTGCTGTTGCTAGCTGATGCTTACTGCTGCTGCTGTTGCTAGCTGATGCTTACTGCTGCTGCTGTTGCTAGCTGATGCTTACTGCTGCTGCTGTTGCTAGCTGATGCTTACTGCTGCTGCTGTTGCTAGCTGATGCTTACTGCTGCTGCTGCTAGCTGATGCTTGCTGCTGCTGCTGATAGCTGATGCTTGCTGCTGCTGTTGCTAGCTGATGCTTGCTGCTGCTGCTGATAGCTGATGCTTGCTGCTGCTGTTGCTAGCTGATGCTTGCTGCTGCTGTTGCTAGCTGATGCTTGCTGCTGCTGCTGATAGCTGATGCTTGCTGCTGCTGTTGCTAGCTGATGCTTGCTGCTGCTGCTGATAGCTGATGCTTGCTGCTGCTGCTGATAGCTGATGCTTGCTGCTGCTGTTGCTAGCTGATGCTTGCTGCTGCTGCTGATAGCTGATGATTGCTGCTGCTGATAGCTGCTGCTTGCTGCTGCTGTTGCTAGCTGATGCTTACTGCTGCTGCTGTTGCTAGCTGATGCTTACTGCTGCTGCTGATAGCTGATGCTTGCTGCTGCTGTTGCTAGCTGATGCTTGCTGCTGCTGTTGCTAGCTGATGCTTGCTGCTGCTGCTGATAGCTGATGCTTGCTGCTGCTGCTGATAGCTGCTGCTTGCTGCTGCTGCTGATAGCTGATGCTTGCTGCTGCTGCTGATAGCTGATGCTTGCTGCTGCTGCGCGAGTGAAATTAACAAAACGTCACGGTCGTCAACTCATCGCTCAGGTTTTTTTTAAAAAAGGAGAATAATGATCGGCAACGTTTCTCGTATTTTGCCCCTTGTGCATTTTCTACCACGCATGTAACGTAAAGAATGGCACACGCATAGGTCATACACATTATCGCGCCTTCCCAAGGCCTTTGTCACAATCCCCGTCGTCATCACCACCACGTGCCGTCAGCGCTGTTCAAAGCCACTCGTCCGGGTGGCTCTTTGAGCATACTTCACCGCGCTGGTCGTTACGCGTACGTGACCGACGGTGCTGCTGCTGCTCGAGTGAAATTAACAAAACGACACTTTTGGTCAATCCGTGATAGAGGAGGGTTTTGGGTGAGATGGCGTAAATATGAAAGCGTCGTTTAAACCCGCCACCACCCGACTCAAAGGCGGCAGGCGAGAAGATCGGATGAGCTGCATCGATGCATGGTAAATGTTGCAGTGGGTTTACTCTCCAACACACCGATGTGCTGTACGAGTAACGATTTGCCACATTTTTTTCACGTGACACCTTACTAACTGGCTATGACGGGTGGTGGCGGGTTTAACGACACATTTATATTCATGCAATCTAACCCATAAACCTCTATTATAGATATTGGTCGCGAAAGCCTACTTTTGTCAATATCACTTTGTTTTGTCCTTGATTACATTTTAAAAAAGCATCCTTCACAGTGCTGGTCAATGCGCGTGTACGCGACTGCGCGTTTTGGGGCAGCTCGGACGGTGGTCTCACTCGCCACCGATGGGACCTTTAAATTCCTCGTCATAACGGTAACGGTTGACTGCTCGCCGATGGCGATCACGCCATCTCAGTTTGTCATGTACATGATTTAAAAGTGCATACCTCCCAGTGGCTTTCTCATATCGGGAGTAAGGGCGATTCAGACGGACGCAGAAGTGCATCTCAAAGCGTGTGACAAGCTATCCATTTGGATATCAACACGTGAGGAATCGATGTAAGCTGAATGGGACAAATTAAACCTCGCGATGCTGCTGCTGCCCGAGTGCAATTGACACGACTACGCTTTTGTCCTTACAATTACATTTTTTAAAATCCTGCTTCACAGCGCTGGTCAGAACGCGTCCGTGACGGCGCGTGGGGACAGCGAGGACCGTGGGCTCTGATTTCACCCGCCCCCTTTATGTTCCTCGTCAAATGTTAACGACAGACCACTCGCTGACGGCCCTTCACGTGTGTTACAGGTGTGGAGCTCTGTCGCGGCTGTGCATCCCACAGCCCCGCCGCGTGCATCCGATTGCCCCAACACTACCACCGTGACCCACGCTCCTCCAACGCGGACCGAAAACCACCGATGCCGGTCAACCATACCGCCACGCAGCAACACTTCCAGACCATGGACACTCGCCGGAACAACACGAAGAACCTCCTGGCGTCGAGCGGCACCTCCGGGCCGGACAGCCGCAGGCACAACGTGCACAGGCTGCGAATGGCGGCCGAGAAGGTGTTCAGCAACTCCGTTATGGAGTCACGCAGGGACAAGCGATCGGTGAAATCCCACTCGCTCGACCGACCTCGCCGGCAGGACGACGCCCCGTCCGACGAAGCGTTCGGCCGCTGGAACAGCCTCCAGTGCTTCGTCTTCTCCCACAAGGACTCCGCCCCCCTCAAGCCTCATCCCAACGTGCGACCCGCCCGCATGGACGCACCGCTGGAGCCCACGGACACCCACGGCTTCGAGACGTGCCGCCCGGCCGCTCCCAGCGGTGCACTGCTATCAGGGGGATCTTCCGCTGCTCCTGCTGGTGGTGGTGATGGCGTTGACGAGGCGGCGTTGGCCGTGGGGCAGAGGCTGGCGCGGCCGTGCTTCAAGGACATCCCGTCCGACTCCAAGTGCATGGTGCAAATTATCGGCAACGGCTGCGTCAACAACTGCGTCGGGTGCATCCCGGTTGACAAGCCTCCCAACGGAAACGTGCAGGCCCTCATCACCTCCCAGCCGTCCGGGCGGCTGAGGCCGGCGACGCAGATCAAGATGGGCAGTCGCTCCCCGGTGCTGCAGGCCATCAAGAAGAATAACTCTCCTGACTTCTCATCCTCCTCCCCGTACGCTACCGGCGCGTCGGCGGTGGCCACCGTGGGAGGAGGACATCCTGGGCCGGTCCAGCGGACCGTAAAGGAGTACGCGGGCATCTGCACGTCGCCCACCCTGCTTCTGCGCAACACGCAGGCTCTCCGCAAGAGCCCCCAGCACGGGTACCGCAAGCGCTTGGCTGCCCTCGCGTCGTGCGGGCTCGCGAGCGGACCTTCCGCCTCCCGCCCTCTGGAGGATCCGACGGAGGGCGGGAACGAAGCGATGCGCGAGCTGGAGGCCGTGACGGAGCAGCCGCGAAGCTGCGAGCAACGACGTCAGACAGGCGGAGGAGGGGGAGGTGGCGGCGACGTATCGTGCATGCCGGGGACAGGAGGACTCAAAGGCGGCAGGCGAGAAGATCGGATGAGCTGCATCGAAGAGGTCGCTTCATTGGAAGCGCCGGATGTCTTGAAGCTGACGGGCGCCCCTCCTGCCGACGCCGGTGGAGGTGCGTCGGGTGGTCGGACCGTGCGCTGTGGCTTCTGGCAGAGTGCCACTGCTGCTGCTGCTGGTGATGACAGATACTTGCACAGGACTACGAAGAGGGCAGACATTGAAGTGCACACGTCCTTCTTGAACATCACCAGCAGTGAATACGACCCGCCCGAGCCTATGAAGTCCTTCGACAGTTTTAAGTGTCGCGGCGGCACCGACGGCGAGTCGTCCCTCGGCCCCGAAGCGAGAGCGGACTTTGGCAAGAAGGAACAAGGGGATTCGAGGTCCCGTGACCTCGGCCCGGCCAACGACGAGCTCCGAGATCGTCCCAAAGACCACACAGGTGGCAACGACCTCTTGGAAGTCGAAGGAAACGACTGGCTGAGAGAACGGCCTCCGGGCGAAGTGCTGCAGAATAAATTCCCCCTCGAACTGTTGCCGACGGAGTGCGACGTGGGCCGCCGTGATCGCTCTGCCGGTGATGCCAAAGCCGATGCAGCGCTTAGAGGCCCGGCCCCGGCGGCAGGAGTGTGACCCCCACGAGTCCGGGCCCACGGAGGACGGCCGTGCGAGCGATCCATCGCGAGGTGAAGATCGTCCCAAACGCTACGCCGAGGACGTCCGAGGTCTCGACCGGCGGCTGGTCTCCATTGATGTGGAAGGCCGGGAAGGTCAGGGTGCGACGGAAACGGGCCCAGCGCGAGAAGATTCGGCGTCTGCTGAACTCTGGCCGGACGACTGCGTCGAGCCGACTCACGAGGTTTGCTAAAGAGGTTTTATTTTTTTCACTTAATGCGGTAGATGCGCTCTTAACAACAACAAAAAGGGGGGGGGGGGGGGTGAACAAAACGAAATATCTTACAGTGAACCGCACCATTCAAAACCAACTAAAGACCATGGGCCTGTCTTGGGGTGAAGCAGAGAAAGCTGCTAAAGACCGCCCGGCATGGCGTGGGCTTGTTGCGGCCTTATGCTCCAGAGGGAGTGAAGAGGAGTCAGTTACAGCGATCCCATCGTCACTGTCAAAAGATTTGTTCCAAAACCTCTGCTGCCCCCACCCAGATACACTTTTACAACTCGATCGTAACAACTTTACGGGGACCATGTAAGCGATAAACACCTATCCATAATACAGGTTTTTTGGGTTAGAACGCATAAATATTTACGCAATCTAACCCAAAAAACCTGTGTTATAAATAATATTGGTCGCGAAAGCCGACGTGTTAAACTGATTAACGCCTAACGCAGTAAACTAAAATACAATACAGTTATAATTTCCAATTGAATAATTATGTTAAACGCTCACACGAGTATGCAGAGAGAGAGAGAGGTGAGAGTCGAGAGCAAGCAGCGCCCACGCAGACGGCACGGAGAGACGGCGCGAGGCTGAGTGGCGGCCGCTTGGCCGTCGAGCGCCGGTCACCCAACGCACAATGCACCGCACGAGACGCCTGCCGTGCCGAGTAGTGCGTACGCCTCGGTCAATCCTCGCGATGGCTAGGAGATGCTAACTACCTCGCCTGGTATACAGGAGGTCGTTGGTTTCGATACAGACCCTGACACCTGCTGTATATGTGGAGTGTGCGTGTCTCTCTCCCCGTGGTCCTATATAATCCTACATACAGAGGATTATAGGAATGTAGCGTACAATAATATAGGATAAGCATTCATATGATTCAGTATATCTTGTAGTCTAGTGGTAGTGCCTTACGCCGATATTCCCTACTCCGAGCCGGCCTAGCAGCAATTCCAGAAAATATCGACTGAAATTGTAAGCCCAGGCGTTGATTAAATAAGAATAATTACAAATATTTTATAGTGTAAGTAGGCCATCGCAACTAACGTTATTATTCACAATTGGGTTTTTATATATTCTTGGGTTACGTAGTCGTGTAGAGCCAATTCTCGACCATAACTCGCCACCACCTGCCGAAGCCGATCGAATGAAGTTGTCGGATGAGGAGGGCGAAGCAAAACCATTCTTTGATTCTAGACTTGAAGCTTTCGTGACTGCAGGGAATCATATTCTTAGGTGTTTTCGGTAAAGTCACGTAGGTAAAACATCAAAATTAATAAAAAGAATAAAATAAAATAAAGATCACGACGTTTCGGAGGCAACACAAGTCTCCGTCATCAGGTGGGACAGTCACAGCCAGATCAGCTGCATCAAGTGAGGCAATGATTCAAGATGTAATCCCTTAAAAGCGAGTTGAGGGGGGAGGAGGGGGGGGGGGGCTCATCAGAATGTGGTAGCCAATGAATGGAAAGTATCGGGAGAGAGGGGCCAAAAAAGGGTGGGCGACGGCGTGGAAGCTGAGTAATCATTGGAAAGATGTTATTAACCACGCAAAAAAGACTTAATTACACATTTTTGGACCATCTTATCTGACAGGCACTAGTTTACTTTACTTTACCGAGTGTTAACATCCCCAGTGTTTAACAGTAATCTCTTCATTGTTCAGCCAGCATTGGAATAAACATACGCATTTTCTTTTCTTTTCTATCATGTGTATCAGACCTCCCCCCTCCCCCCTCTCTGTCCAATGCGTTGCCGTGGGCAGCAGTGTGTCGCTTGCGCACAATAGCTTCCACGCCGTCGCCCACCCTTTTTTGGCCCCTCTCTCCCGATACTTTCCATTCATTGGCTACCACATTCTGATGAGCCCCCCCCCCCCTCCTCCCCCCTCAACTCGCTTTTAAGGGATTACATCTTGAATCATTGCCTCACTTGATGCAGCTGATCTGGCTGTGACTGTCCCACCTGATGACGGAGACTTGTGTTGCCTCCGAAACGTCGTGATCTTTATTTTATTTTATTATTTTTTATTAATTTTGATGTTTTACCTACGTGACTTTACCGAAAATACCTAAGAATACCATTCTTTGATGTTTCGCTTGAGATGACGAGCAGCATCATCAGGTCTGTGACAGGACCTCTGCTCACCGCGTGTCGGTCGCACGTTCCCCACTCCTCGCACAAATTCGCGGTTTTGACGCCGGCAGGCCACCCTGCGTTATTACTCCAGGGGTGACAACGGACCAGATTTGTGCCTTTCGAAAACGTCGCAAAGCGCACGACTCAATTGGCATTACGCAAAGAAACACCGCCCCCTGATGTGAAACTCACAGAAGACTGCGTGAAGCGGTGCCCTGTGAGAATTCGGGGCGCCGCGGTGGCGAGATGTTGTTTCCCTCGCCTGGTATTCAGGAGGTCGTGGGTTGGATCCCGACCCTGACGCCGGCTGCTGCTGCATAGTCGGAGTTTGCACGTTCTCTCCGTATTTTCCTCTGGGTACTCCGGTTTTACCCTCCCACATTTAGTATCAACATCACGCCATTAGAGTCTTTGGCTGCTGACAATATATTCCCACATGTAATAAGCCACTTCGTTAATAGCTCAGTGGGGCTTCACCTGGTGAAATAAAATAGTTGAACTGTTTTAATGGCGCGAATACCCGATACTGATTGCGCCGAATGATGATCACCCACCTCCGATTTGCACGGTTGGCTACGTACGGTGCGAAAGAAGTTCATCGTACGTACGTACATACGCACACACACACACATCATGCCCGCTACCAACGTTGACTCCCGCGACATCGCTCCACCCCACGTGCGTGAAGGTTCCAGCCGGAGATGCGAGCGCGCCGCGAGATTTGGTGACTCCGCGCAGCGCGCCGCCGTCGTCCGCCATGGACGTGATGCTGCAGACGGGGCTGGACATCGAGCGGATCTACCTGTCGGAGGTCCCGCTGTCAGACCCCGTGAGTGTTGTGACGTTCTCTTATCCGCGTGCTCCCCGACTGAAAAAAGGATTCCTCCAGTGTCAATACATGTTCTGATTCCGAGTGCCACCGCTCAGGACGTTGGCCACACGATGTCCCTGGGGTAAGGCAGTGAAACTCCTTAAACACAAAAGAGCTTGCCCCAAATGAAACGCAGTACCTCGTTGATCTTGTCAAGGAGCATAAACCATCGCGCAGACTCTGGCCATCCTCGCAGCAGCAGTAGCAGCAGTGGCTTTTGGGCTGGCCATCCAACAAAGACGCTCACCGTATAGCGGCGCTTTCATTTGCGCTTCTGGAACACTCTTCCGATGTTAGGAAGCCACCGGGAGCTATGGACTTTTAAATCACCGAGGTTGGAAACTCATTTCTTCAGAACTCCTTTTTGTGTTTAGTGTTGTTGTCCTTTCCCTGGCACCTACGATTAGCACGGTTGGCTACGTATGGTGCGAAAGAAGTTCAACACACACACAAACACTAAACAATTTGCAGGATTTGGTTCCATAGCCTTGAGTTCATTATCCATGCAAGTTGTTAAATCAATGCTGTGACCGCCTCTGTGAACCGAGCGACATTGATGGCTTCAGTCACGACATGATTGGCAGGCCACGTGTGTAGAAGAGTAGGCCAAGTTATCACCCACTTACAGGGACTGTTTAGAGCAGTGGTTCTCAAGCGGGGATAATGAGGGTTCCTGTGGGTACGTGGCAGTGTCAATTGGTCTACCCAGAACAGCCTCTATTGAGTCTCAAGACGTTTTCAGGATGTTCGCCAAATCTGCGCGACGTTGGCCAACATCCAATGGAGCGTGACGTTTGGAGAGCAGAGTACACGACCGAAGAGCCGTACGCACGTCGCTTCCATTGCACAGGGCTGTGTAATGGCAAAAGAGACGATGGGTGGGAATTCCAAATCCGAAGATTGCCCTTCAAACTGAATCGCCCTTCAAGCGAATATCATCCGCGAATCAGAGCTTCATAGCTCATCGGATTTCCTCCACGATAAATAAGGATTCTGTGCAATGATCTCCTCCCCCAGATTCTAACGCCGATATCAGTGACGCCAAATCTGCACTGCGAGCAGTGGGTGTCAAGCGTCATTTCTCCAATCCGTGAACACCCCGTGGCCACCATCAGCCTGGGCCTCTCGTCCGAGGGCCTCGATCTTTCGTCGTCCGAGTCTCAGCCAAGGGTCAACCCCGAGTCTGCCTCTCCCGCGTCGCCCCTCGCTCCTCCACTCGCCCTCGGCCCGGAGTCGAGCGGCCCGAGCCCGCCGCCCATCGAGCCCGAACGCCGCCGCTGGCCAGCGCCGCGCTCCATCGACGGCTGCGTATGTGCTTCACTCGGTCACCCGTCCATCCGTCCGTCCGTCCATTCATTAATGCCTTCAAATCGTCAGATCAAAGCGCGAGTACATTTGGCATTGCCGCCGATGTTGCAGCGACAGGCGCTCGCGAAGGCAGGTAGGCGCTGCTGCGTTTCACAGACGGGTAAAGTACCCAATTGAACCCTTTCCCATTCCTAGACGTCTGCAGGTTGCAGGGTGCGGGTGTTCGGTTCACCGCTGAATCTCGGAAAGAAAGTGGCTCACCGTTCATTTTATTCAGAGGGACATAGCGAAAGTTGTTTTTTAAAGACATTGCACTCGCTGCAGAAAACCGTAGTGACACGAACCGCACTCCACGATAGCTGACGACAATCTGTGCCACACGCCCTCCCGCATGGCCAAGTGGGAGCCTCGGTGCGTCTTCTGACCTGACCTAAAGACGTAACGATGAAGTTGACGTACATGTACATCATCGGAACGGAATCGGCAGAAAGGGTAATAATAATTTCATTTTATAAAGCGTCATTCATGCAATTGCATCCCACAATGCTGCACACCAATTATCCAGTTCCGTATACAGATAATACAAATAAAAGACAAAAATCAATACTTAAATAACGATGTAAAAATATACACGTAACAAGAAAAAGGCATTGTAGAGAAAATTAATTGAAATCAATTAATCCGTTCAGTCTCCATACCCCAGACCACAATCCCAACATTTCGCCGGATTTTGGAGAACCTCCACTGGAGGGGTGGTGGAGTAGCCGAAACGTTACGAGCCGGCTGGACGATAATGTCAATGCCTCTTTTCCAGCGTGTGCCAGGGTGATTTTAATTCGCGGGTACATTTTCAAATTTGCCAAAATTGGAAAGTGCCTCCTGTGTCGTGCAACGGCCAACTCACTATCGAGGCCGGGGAGGGACCCCGTGATCTCGATTGGGAGGGCGGACGGCACCATACCAAAACTAACCACCGACAGCCGCTGATACAAACGCACGAATGCACCGACAACCCCGGCGCGTCACTTCCCCCCCCCCCCCCACCTCGTGCCGCCTATTCCCAGAGGCCGTGCCTCGTCCCGCCGGCGACGTTGGAGGACGGCGGCGGCGGCGGGTTCGCCGCGACGACAACCGCGGGGCTCTCGGAGCGCCTCTGCTCGCTGGCGCTCCCCGCGGTCGTCGCCGGCGGCCTGTGGCGCGCCGGGCACGGCACGCTCGGCAAGATCGGCCGCCTGAGCGAGCGCGAGCTGCGCGACGCGGGCCTGTGTGACGCGGCGCACGCCGGGGGCCTCAGGTCGGCCGTGGAGCAGCTCGCCAGGCAGCTGGGCTCGTCGGCCAGGCAGCGGGGCCGCTGCGAGGCGCGCGGCTCCAACAACGTGTGAGCGGCGGGCGCCTCGGCCGCGAACGGGAGCGCCTCTCGGGGGTGGCGGCGAGATGTTGGGGAAGTCACGGGTTCGGTCCCGACGCTGACGGAGGCGAGATGTTGACTGCCTCGCCTGGTGTGCGGGAAGTCGTGTGTTCGGTCCCGACGCTGACGGAGGCGAGATATTGACCGCCTCTCCTGGTGTACGGGAAGTCGTGGGTTCGGTCCCGACCCTGACTATGCCTGTATATTTCAAGTTTGCATGTTCCTCTCTCTCTTCTCGTGGTCGCATGGATTTTTCTCCAGGTCCTTCAGTTTTTCCCTCAATATTTTAAAAAACACGCGTTTAGAGTATTTGGCTGCTGTAAATGTCCACGTGACAAGCCGCTTCATCGAGCTATCACTTGTGGCCAGGTCGCTTCTGAATGAGAGCTACAAAGCTCAGTCGGTCCTTGCCTGGTGAAATAAAAAATGGTTTAATTTTGTTTTGTTTTAAAACCATCGCTGAGTTTCGTCCGGTCGCTCGTGGGTTTACAAGTGGGGCAGCATCTGGTGACTAATCACTTGAGGCTTTCCAAACAAAACAAAAACAGATGTAAGTTATTTCCTGTCCAATTGAGTGTCGATGCATTGGTGCTCATCTCCTGTTTTACAGCCTGGAGCCACCGGTGGAATTTCCACATTCCTATGGCGGGAGTGAGTTCTCCCGCAAGATATTGCCTTCGCCACAAAGTGGTGCTTAATTTATCCACCCGTGAAGGCGAATTATCTCGATGACGGTAATGATCTTGAGTTGACTCACGACCAGGGCTACAATGCCAACATTGGAAAGATGTGTGCCACGAAATGAGCTGATGAGTTACATTTTGTGGACAGGGGGGTCGTTCAATGGAAGGACCTCGCCTCTGCTATGGGAACGTGGATTTTCCAACTCTTAGCTCGCGGTCCACCAAACAGGACGGACGACGTAGGTTGACGCAGGGTGATGCGGAGTGACGCAGGGTCACGCGGGGTCATGCAGGGTGACGTGGAGTGACGCGGGGTGACGCGTTGCACACGGGCTCGGGGTCACCGTAATTCAATCCGGAGGTTTTTTTTTGAGGTCCATAAGAATGAGATTATCCAGGAAGACAATTTTACACTTCACATTATAACAGACAAAAGCATATATCCTGTCCAATGGAACACAAACCTGTCAACCCCTTATCAGTGCCCTACCTTATTACAGATCAATGCAGACATTATTGGTCACCCCGTGCCCTTATAAATCTCAACGTTCATCCTTCAAAGTCCCATCACAAGGGATAAACGCAAACAAACATTTTGCCTGTATTGAAACGGCTGTACGCCATATGAACCTGAAAACTACATTTCCCTGTACAAGAAAACAGGGTAAACCGTGTGCGTTGACAGCTATCGGAACGCTTTTTTTTACTTCCATATGGCAACCTTCTCCTGTCGCCTGACAATATTAACCCCACTGTACGATACAATCCAAATCATAATGATATTTCAGTGTCAGCATTTTCAGCTGAGCACAAGCACAAATCGCCAACCACATTCTGTCCTTCAAGCTCCCTCTTTATGACAGGTGCTTAATTTAAATGCGTCCGAGGTGGCCGACCGGCTGGAGTGGCTACGTAGCCACGGTTCGGAGCGAGTTGGGTACTGGATGTGATGTGCCGGGTGTGGAGATATTTGCGGGTCTCCAGCTGGGCCAGAAACCGTGTGAAATTAAGCGCGGGTTATAACCGAAATATACAACGGCGACAGGCTCTTATAACCATGATAAATGTGTTTCTTCTTCTTTTGGGGTTAAATCGCGTAAATCTGAATGTGTCGTTAAAACCCGCCACCACCCGACAGCCAATTAAAAAAAAATGGATCATGGATAATGTTGGTCGCGAAAGCCTACGTGTTTAAACAGGCCCATCAGTGTTCCGGGCAGTGGATCTCTTTTGACACGCTGGAAATTCCACGCTCCCGTGACGAGGGCCATTCTCTCTTTTTTTCTCGCTTGCCGGACGATCTAAATAAGTACCACAAAATGGTACTTGCTTTGTTAATCCCAGATTGATGATGGGTCGTGATGTCGAATATCACCCACGGTCATAGTCTCGTCACCCTGTCGTTCTCACGAGCTGCTGCGTCTGGCACAGTGACACGTGGTGTTGACTGAGAAATCCTGAGACTAATCGTGGAGTTGGGGATGACTTTTTAAAATTATTTTTGGTGTGGAGAGCCATTTCTCCGCGATGATGATGAGATTTTAATTTTGCAAACTTCCGATTGTGAGCGAAGTGTTTCTGCAGAAGGCCCCTTGCCAAAAACGTAAAGAGATGTATTTTTTAATGTACATTTCCATTTTTTTAATGAGGTGTTTATGGCGAATATGGAGAGCTCTGTTTACTTCGAATTGTGACGGTGAACTATGGATTCAAGAATCCGAATCAATTTATTTACGCTGCAGGAATCCGATATTTGTTTCCAGATGTCAAGTAGAGGCACGGGGTCAGAGCGTGATAATAACAAACAATGCTGCGTATGTAACGCTACAGCCACATCTCAACATGCCCTCCCAATGACAAGGGCGTCTGAGTGTGGAAGGGAAAGCTGCAGGGTGGTGCAAACATGAAAGAGTTCACTCTTAAAAATGTGGTGAAAGAACGTCGGAAAAGGTTTTAGAGTGGACAGAAAGTTTGAAGGTCGAGAGGTCATCCACCCGTACCCCCTGCCATCGCTTCCCGTTTGGCCCCCGAATTCTACAACCGCGAAGCGGAGTGGACGCGCAGCCACCAAGCGTCACGACTCTCGCTAGAAGCGGCCGCAGTGCCCCCGTCCCGGTGGCCTGCCCAGCTCCAGCCCCGCAGGCCGCGTCCTCGGAATGAACGCAGCCCACGGTGATTGAGAGACTCTAGCTCAAGGTGGGTCAAGCGAGATGTGTCCCCCTGCCCAAACGAGGACGGGGCACTGCCCATTTTCGAGAATGGACCCTGAACCGGTGATGTAATGTTACACATGACTACGGCATGGTTTTAGTATATTTTACGACGGGAGCTTTTCAAGCAATGTCCCTCTTTCATCCTGTTGGTAATCCTCTGCCGTGTGAGGGGTTTCCTCGTGTCGTGAAGGAGGTTCTTCGAACATACTTCACCACGCTGTGTTAGTGAGCTGTGTTTTGAAGGCGGCAGGGGGAGGGGCGAGCAAAGACGTGGAGCATAGAAGTGCAGTCCAACAACGGAATGCACTGCTCCGTTGGCCTCCGCCGCTCTGCCCGCCACGTAGCTCGGCACCTGCCAAAGTAGCAGACCGCCGCGCCAGGTCACCGCGGTTTTGTCTCCTGTGCTACAAATGGAGGACGAAACACCACGAAAATGTTTCGGAGTGCCTCCGTCACATCGGGAATATTGCATGAGTGACAGGTTGATACGAGGCTAACACAGACAGAAATATAAATACATATTATATCAACAGCGCTTCCGAACGGACTTGTGCCCTTCAAGCACATTTTTTTTGTTAACAGCTGGATAATGCAAATTAATCTGGCAATGGCCAGTAGCCATAGCTTTTATGCTGGAATTATTTCAGCCCAGGAGGTGCTAAGCCAATGTTATGTAGGAAGGTTAGTCGCAACAACCTACGCTCTTGAGTTGGGCAATGGGGGTCAGCAGACGCTGCTGTATTGGCAGCAGAACATTTGAAATGCTGTACAGTATTTCCGTTTTCTCAGTGCGATCATTTGCCAGTTGGGGTTTAAAGCGTATGGGGAGTGATCAAAAAGTATGTGGGCTGACGAAGAAGTTCTGCTAAAACGTGGAGCGAATGAAATATCCGGGCAAAACGTGCAGAGAAAAACATCTGAAAATCCAGAGATAATATTGAGAAAGCCCATGCTCACCCAGCCCTGGCTCTCCGTGCCTTTCAGATGCCTCACTCGCAGCAGCTGGAGGACCACTCACAGCGAGAGTTATTCTCCAGCGACCGTGGGTGAGCCGCGGGCTCTGGGCCGAGCTAGGAGCAAGGCACGGGGTGCTTCTGGGCCGGGATTCAGAGTCTTGGGACATCGATTGTGATTGTGACGAATGGACCAAGCGCACTGCACTTCGAGGGGATGATGCGAAAATGAATCGTACCTTCGTCACGGCCACTCGCAGCTCTCAGTCCCGGCGTGTGCTGGCTACGCATGCGTCGCCCGCGGAGAGGCAACGTCTGATAACAAGCAACCGAGATTCAGGTTTATCGCTTGGTCGACGGCGAGAAACCTCTGATCGTCTCGTTTTGCAAGAAAAAAAGCGAGGATTTTTTGAGTTAACTTCGTGCACTGCACAGCGGCCAATAGATGGCTGTGCAGCAAGTGGGTTCTTGATATGTACGTCCTGAATTTGTATATTATTATTATAATACTTTCTCTGGACAAGCTGCAGTCCTTCACATGTGAAATTCAAATATAAAGGAATTGGCACAAAATCCCAAGCAGGGCTCGCCTACAAACATCCTTGAAACTCACTGATACTTCATTAGTATTATTAGCATCATCATAATTATACTTCGTATGTATATTGAACTCTGTTCGCACCGTACGTAGCCAACCGTGCTAACTTCAGTGGGCACTCGCATGGGTAAATAAAAGGACATTTTTATTATTTCTGGAGGTGGCCTGCAAATAAAAAAAACATGCAGTACAGCGCATGTTTCTAAGCGGAACCATTGCTTCCTTGACTTCACATCAGAATCAGAATATTGATGTAGACTGGCAGAGGAGGAATCCGACGAGCTATGAAGCTCTTTGTTATAGACGTCCAGTAGGGGCAGGTCGGCATGTAACAAGAACAGACAATATCAAACAATTTAACACGTTGATTATGAATACCAAACAACTAAAAACCGATAGGAGTGCAACATACAGAGAGAGGTAAGGAAGTCACGAAGGAATAAAATAAATGTACATGGGTCGGTTCGATTCCAAACAAGGTTGTTTTACGTCGGGCCAAACTCGTGAGTGAGCTGACACACAACCCATCCCAAACAGCTCTTTTCTTGAAATCGCGTGTCTGGGCTGTGCGTTACTCCCTGGGGCTGTCCGACACGAGTTTGAAACTTTGCGAATGATTAAAACGACGACGATAATAATAATTGGAAGTCACCACTGCGGGAATTTTGCGGACGACATTGCCAAGCCTCTTAACATTTGTGGGGAACAGAGAGGGCCGCTGAGCCGCCTTCCGGCGATTCTCGAAAGGCAGTTCAGAGCGCGGCGCTCCAAGCCCTCGGGGTTCAAATCCTCGAGCGCCGCCCCCGTTAACCGTGACCCCGGTGATACCCCGAGAGAGTCACCCTCGACCGGCCTCTCCGGCTATCGCGATCACCTCGAAGGGCGCCAGCAAAGAAGAGCACCGCGGAGATTCACGGCTCAGCGCCGCGTTGTTGGGTCGTCATCATTGTCAACGTTCCCCGCTCCCGCCTTGCCGGACGATTGTCCGGGAAATGGAGTCGTGCGCTTGGGTCCGGCTAAAACGTCGGACGTCGCGTCGACCAGCGCGTGCGGCGCGATCAGAAAACACTTTGGAGAGCTGCCGCGTATCTACAGCGCAACAACGCCGACTCAACTAAAACTGTAACTATTTATATTTTACCAGGTAAGGGCCCCACTGAGCTGCGATGTAGCTCTTTTTCAGACGCGACCTGGCTTTCACACATGATAGCCCAACGAAGTGGCTTCTCACGTGGAAATTTATTGCAGCCAAAATAAATACTCGAAACGCGTGGATGATGATTCTTAACGTGGAAGGAAAAACCGGAAGATCCGGAGAAAAACCCACACGATGGATTTGTTCTCTGGGTCCTCTGGTGTTTTTCCTTCCACATTTAGGATCACGCGTTCAAAGTATTTGGCTGCTGCTATAAATGTCCACGTGATGATGATAAGCCACTTCGTTGAGCTATCATTTGTAGTGGCCAGGTCGCTTCTGTTAAAAAGCTACATAGCTCAGTGGGCCTGGCCTGGTCAAATAAAAAATATTTTTTATAGCTGTAACGTGCCATGTGACTCCATGCAGCTGAACTTAAAATGTATGTCGCAAACTAAGTACTTCTGAGGACAAACCCGTGTTGGAAAGTATTTTGCGTTGTTCAAAAGTTGAGTGAAGTGTTTACTCGTGGCACGCAAACTAGATTGTTTTCTTTAACGTATTCGTGACACAAAAAATACAGGAACAGCAATTTGCTTCCGGAGTTGCAAATTTAAGAAAAGACAAAACATCCCGGGATGCACAGTCAGCGTAGAAGTAACCCCAAGAGAATGGCTATTTGTGTCATCTTGATTTGAAGCTTTCGTGACTGCAGGAATCCATACTCTTTGGTTCTTTCGGTAAAGTCACGTAGGTAGAAAATAAAACAAATCACGACGTTTCGGGGGCAACACAAGCGTCCATAATCAGGTGGGAAAGCATGGTCTGCTGCTGAGGCATGCTTTCCCACCTGATGACGAACGCTTGTGTTGCGCCCGAAACGTGATTTATTTTATTTTATACCTCCGTGACTTTACCGATAGAACCAAAGAGTATGCTATTTGTGTAAGTTTGTTTTTTTGTGTCTTCCTTTCAACACAGTGCACTGTGCACACAATGCTACGCAGTCTCTGTGGTGGTGGTATTGGTGGTGGTGGTGAAGTGGTGGTGGTGAAGTGACATATCAGGAGCCTATTTACTTTGGTGCGGGGTTATCGGATCACACAAAGACAGAGCCACAACCCCGTCCGTAAAAGTTGGCTTTCCATAAATTGACCTAAAGTGCGTGTCGCCGCACTCCCGAGTAGGTTTTCGCGATTGCCCGCTGCTGTTCATGTCTCTGATGGGTTTTCGGGTCGTACCGCTCTTTTTTTTGGTTCGGCGTGATGTCCGACGTTTCGCTGCACACACCGGGCGGGGGGGGGGGTGGGGAAAGACGACGACTTCTTCACGGCCTGAATTCAAAGGCAGTGAATTCAAAGGCAGTGAATTAAAAGGCAGTGTCCGCAGAGGCCGGAACCTTCCAGACGTCGGCCAATGCCGCGGCCACGTCGGGTGGTGGAGGGCTTCACGACAAAAACTAAAAAAATCAAAACGTCGACAGGCGACGAGTCTTATTCGTGACTCCGGAGAGCGGCACGCCGAGACTCGACGCAGCGCGGATGAGGAGCTGCACGAGCGACAGACTCGATCGCGATGGAGCTTCGTCACAGTGTTGTATTTGAGTGAAATCGTGTCAACGAAAACACAGATGTGATGCTTTAAATGTAAATACTAAGATTTGTTTAAAAAAATAAATATATATGACGTTAACGTTCTGTACATGGAGATGTACTTCTGTATACAAGTCAAAGCACAGGGTAGAATATGATTGTGATCCGCTGTATTGACTACCTATATGAATGTGTGTGCAATGCGTTTAAACAACTATATATATATGTATCTGTGTACATATATATGAATTTGTAAGTCATGGTTGTCACGTTAACTTTGATTTCACGTCGGCACATTGCAGCGTCACGCGCGCGTTGTGTCCAGAAGGGGTTCCGCATGGCGCTGTCTTCGACGTGGGCTTGCCACGCGCGCTCTCGTTGGTAAACTTGTAAACCTTTCATTTGATTTACACCTGCGCACGGACATCATCGTCGTCATCATCACCACGGTCACCGCCATCATTGTTTAAAATTAATTCCGCCACCGTCTGTTGAATTGTCAAGGACATTCGTTTGCCGGCGTTCTACCGCCGTCCATTCAAATGCAACTCTATCCTCAATGCCCTGGCCGCAGCAATCGGCGCTCCGCACTTCGCACTTGCAAGCCGGGGGTCGCCGGCTCGACGCCCATCGCCTGGCGCGGCCGTAGAAACAGCGGCCAAGTGTCTTAGAAATCCCCCGCAGCAGCAGCAGATTAAATACAGCGTGCTTCAAAAAGATGTTAACAATTACATGGGACTATCGTTTTTAATGGGAAAAAGAACGGTTAATAATCACAGACTGTGACCTGATAACAAATGTTTATTAACAGCTTCAACAACCTTTCTTCTTTGCACCAAAGTCGATCTCGTTGCCATTTCAGTCAACTGCAAGGGACAGAAGAGAAACATTCTCAGAAGTGTTCACATTGTTTTGAAGCACGCTACACCACGTGGGTGGCGCGTGTCGCGGGGTCAAGCGAGGGGTCAAGCGAGGGGGTGCCACACATCTCGCCCAACACACGTGGGGCAGCGTGCGAGAGCATCGCTGAACACTTCTCTGGAACGTACTCGAGTGGAGTGCCCTTCTGCTAGCAGTGCCGTGAGCAAGCGATTGCAGGGCAGCACCTTTACCTTCAACCACATCCTCATCGCCATCATCATCAAAGAGCCCCCGTATAGCCTTTAACAGACTGTTGGGGCAAGTGCTGTTAGCGTGCACCTATGAAGGCCGGAATGGCTCACGAGGGGTGGGATGGCCAGCACCACGCCTGGCCGCCTTTGTCTCCCTTGTGGCGATGTATTAGGCAGCGCACCAGTTACTTATTTGAGGCTGAGTCGACCTAAGGGTGACCCAGGACCGGTTCAAATACTCGCCACTGTTATTGGTTGTGCGCGGGAATCGAACTCGTGTCGCCGGGTTTGTAGCACAGTGCGCTAACTGCTGCGCCACCATCATCAGCATTGTCATAAGCTTCTATGGCTGAATCAAACGCTGTGCTGCTTGTCGACTTGAAATATCCTCGGGACGCGGAGCTTTTGCTGTCGTTGTTGTTGTTATGCAGAAGTAATTTAATGTGTGGAAGGAGCAAGCAAAATAGTATCTGACGTGTGCATGATTGTTGTCGCAAGCCAACCAGACGCCCACCTATGTACAAGAGACATCACGCACATGCTAATATTTGCTTAATCTGGTGATGATGATGGTGATGATGGTGAAAACTTTGTTCGTGAAAAAGTGCAAACGATTGTAGAGCTCATCGGTTCACGGCAATCGACCCATTACGTGCCAAACAGGTGACACGTGAACACTCCGCTCTGTGCCTGATCTCGGGTGGCCCAAGTTGACTTTCTCAACCAAACCACCGCTGCGTTAACAACTAAAAGTGATGGTATGGGTAGAAGCAGTGTCAGATCCCTGGGTGGTGGAGGCGGTGGGGGAGGCGGTGGGGGGGGCGGTGGGGGGGGGACGGTGGGGGGGGGCGTTATTGCTGCCCCCACTCCCTTGAGACCTCGAACATTGCTGTTTGCATTGGTAATTATCAGTAAAAATATCTACAGAAATAGTAGGGCCCTTATCTAAAAGGGTTTTTACATTTCGGGGGGCGGCTCAGCCTCCCCCTTTTGGGGGTGTTCACGACCCGCCTGGCATTTCAGGTGGTGCGAGAGGGTTTGACGCCATCGGTCAAACTCAATTGGATGACCTTCATAAAGGTTAGATCGCGTAAATACTGTGGCGGGTTTAACGACACATTCATATTTACGCGATCTAACCCAAAACAAAAAACGTTATTGTGGATAACATTGGTCGCGAAAGCCTCCGACGACGACTTCGTGTCAAAGAGATGACCTCTCTCTCTCTGTACCGTAGGTAGCCAACCGTGATAATCCGAAGGTGCGTTGTAAGCATGGCGTGACCTGAACACGGACAGCACTTGTGGCGATCCGCTGCTGGACGACGATGACTTCCCCACGTCGCCACGCGTGGGTGAAGGGGTGGGAGGGGGGGGGCATTTAACCATACTTCACCACGCCGGTCGGTGCCGGCAGTCCGTCGCACGGCCGACAGTCGCCATATCCGCCCTGAGCCAACTCGCCAGCGGACCGCTTGTGCTTGACGGCCCCACACGCCTTGGCTCCCGGCGCGTGTGTCGGAGTTCGCGAGGTTGCGGCTCGAACGCAACCCGACATCCATCGACGGACATTCCACGTTCCCGCGGCGGGTGCCTCTCCCGCACGTGTTGTCACGATCGCGATTGTCGCCATCGTGTCCCAGGGAACTGCGCGGCAAATTTACCATCGCGGAGCCGCTTGAGAATGGGTCGCACGGCGTTGTTTGACTCTGTCTGATGGGTATACATTGTAAGATGATTCCTATTAACACGTTCTCCAAACGGTAAGATGCTCCGGAAAAGCAAGAGGCATCCCCAAACTTGTGTCCCGGTACCAATGGAGTTGTACGAATCTGGTCACACGCAAACCCCCTACCGGGATCGGAGATGCAGTCCCCAAAGTGTTATCTGTGAAGTTGGCGTCTTATAATGCGCGGGACACGGTAATGCTTTTTCTGTCGAGAAGGTGTGCTTTAATCATCTTCTGGAAGACAGTTGGGCCCCATGTATCAAATCCGTATTCTCCAGATTATGCAACACTTATTTTCTGAAATGTCTCTGGAGTGTGCTGAGGTTGCGTCTTTCTTTCCAGAGCGTCTGACGGTGCGGGCGAATGCTTGCATACTTTTTGAAGTTTGTCGAGCGGTGTAATGTTTCGATGTACAGATGCATTTCTTTCGATGATATCATGCTTTTTCGATGTTGTGTTTTTTGGCGTGCCTAAGAAGCCACACTTATCGTGTATACACATGGAATGCTGCAACATATGTTCCAGGGTTGTACATAATGCTTGTAAAAAAAAAACCTACTTCCGTTCTCTTTATTATTCACAAATGGTAAAATTCTATTCTGTATATGTCGAACACACATTTACCTTCTATCATGTGTAAAAAAAAATTACCATAACTTATTTAAGAGTTGTGAAAAATGAATTGTGTATATTTGTCGCAAATGGTTGCTGTTTAAAGTCAGACTTTCTTTAATTGGGGGGAGTTCAAAGAAAAAAAAACTTAACTGAAAATCTTCTTCTGTTAAGTGTTATGCTCAAAATCCAGAAATAAAATGGTTTAAATGCTTTCTGTTCCATTTGTATATCTTGTTTGCCCATGCCGGGCTATGTAACGTAAACAGATCATGTCCAATACTCCTTGCCACCTGCACGTTTGTTGAACTTCTTTCGCACAGCACGTAGCCAACCGCGGCTAATCGAAGCTGCGGGGGGAAGGACAACAAACTAAACACAAAAGCAGTTCTAAAGAAATTAGTTCTCAATCTAGATCATTTAAAAGTGCGTGGCTCCAGTGGCTTCCTAATATCGGAAGAAAGAGCGTTCCAGACGGCCGCAGGAGCGCATCTGAAAGCGCCGCGCGATGCGGTGACCACCGCCTTTGTTCGATAGCGAGCAGCCAGAAGTCTCTGCTACTGCTGCTGCGAGAACAACCTGAGCTGGGACAGAGTAGTAACGAGAAGACAGAAGCACGATAGCGTGGGGCAAGACCACGGAGGGGTTTGTCGACTGGAGTGAGACATTTAAACAAATCTAAAAGTTTACTTTCCACCACTTTATGGTGAGTGGCGTTCTCCCCTTGTAGTTGTTGCAATCAGCCTGGACACAATCAAACCCATCTCGTCTGAAGTGGCCTTCCCTCTTTACTTTCGTCGGTTGCCCCTGGCTCTGTTTTTGTTTCCTGTTTTTCAGGCATTGCGCATTGGAATCCTAGGATGGAATGCGCACTATAAATTAGACTTATTATTAAAACAGTGACGTGTGAACAACCTCCATCCATGCCAGTTGCAAGACTGTCACTTTGCAGGTCACGCTACGGAGCGTCTCAGCCACACGTCAGGGTGAAGCTTTCCCCGAGAGCGGAAACGTACTGCTGTCCTTCAGCAATCGCAGCTGCTGGTCGGCTTTGCGTCTTCACAAATAACCTCCGAGGTGGCAAACAACGACTGGAGCCGGAGACTGGCGAGTAGCGAGGGATGTTCTTTCAAACATTCACGGAAAACTCGTGCGCTGGTCAAAAAAAACGTTTGACACGTAGAGGCTTTCGCGACCAAATATTCGTAACGAAGGTTTTTTTTTCTTCTGGTAAAAATCGCCCGATGATGTAGGATGTAATAGCCAGCGAAAGGTCGCATACAAATTGTAAACGTTGTGGGTTTAACGCTCCAACACAGAACCGTTTTGTTTACGTGAAAAATAACTTCACTTAATTGTCTGTGTCGGGTGGCGGCGGGTTTAACGACACATTTATATCCAAGCGCTCTAAACCGCTACAAAAAAGCGCCTTTGTTAGTGCGCTTATTAATTTCGTTAACAAACAAAAACCTCGGACAGCTTTCTTTTTGTGAAGGCTGGCTCGATACCAGCGCGTGCAGTTTGTGTGCAGCCCTTCCCGACGAGCACACTTGCCACCTGGGGTACCCTTTGAAATGCCCATCGATGGGTCGACGAGTGTTTTGCCCGTCGTCTACTCAAGCGCACTTGGACTCTCTCGCTCTCCGCTGAAGCCGCGTTCGGGGCTCGAGCCGCGGCCACGAGGGCCCTTGAGAGGCCGCTTGGCCGCCCGCCCGGCCCGGCCCAGGCAGCCTCTCGACCTCGAGTGGCGCGGTAATGAAATTATCAATTAACAACGGCGGTATTTTTAAAAGATGTTTATTTATACATAAAAAAATACGGTGCATAATGTCACAGCGGGTCGGTACTATTTGCCTTAATCACGAAACGAGAAATTGCTTGGAGAATTGCTGTGTTTTTTTTTGTCAAAAAATTCCCATTTTTAATATAAATACCTCATTTTAATTACTACTGGACCCGTCAGAAGCACACTGCTCAACAGGGCACTAAATGTCTATTTCCTCAAGCCGGCTTATATAGAGTGTGATATCCAATCGCAGTGACAATGTAGAGTGTGATATCCAATCGCAGTGACAACGTATCGTGACAGCCCAACCCCCATATCCGCAGGGTGACGGGGCGGGGCTTACACAGGAAGAGGCGGGGCCTAAAGACTAAGGGGACGTGGCCCAAATAGGAAAGGCACAAGGTGCCAAAAGTGAAAGAGACAAATGGGGCCTTGTATAACACGTAGGCTTTCGCGACCAATGTTATTCATAATCAACGTTTTTGTAAATGTTGTGGCTTCAACACACCGGTGGGCTAAAGCAGTGAACTATTTGTCTTTTGTCAACGTGACACTTTTTTACTGATTGGCCGTGTCGGGTGGTGGAGGGTTACGACACATTTATAAATAACGCGATCTAAACCCAAAAACGTTGATTATGGGGCCTTGTATGTACTGTGTCTTGAACTTCTTTTGCACAGTACGTAGCCAACCACTACTTAATTGGAGGTGCTAATCAAGCTAAATACGTAAACTAAACGATTTATGTTTCACCAGGTAAAGCCCACTGACCTGCTATATAGCTCTTTGTCAACAGTGACCTGGCCTCAAATGATCGCTCAACGACGTGGATTATTATTACGTGCAAATTTATCGCAGCCAATAGCTCTAAATACACGTTGATTCTAAACGTGAGGGAAAAACTGGAGGACCCAGAGAAAAGTCCATGCAGCCACGGGGAAATCCAGGGGTCGGGGTTGAACCCGCACCCTCCTGCATACCAGGCAAGGTCGTTATCATCTCCTAGCCACCGTGGCGCAAGGGGTAGGGCCTAGAGTGGTTAAACTCCCCTGTTCATGTAGGGCCATCTTCCTTTGTATGGCGAGTGAAAGATGTAACAAGCCACAAATGTACTGTTAACGTCTCTTACCCACGCTTATTATGGGGGGGGGGGGCGGGGGCAATCAGCGGTGGATCGAGGGGGGGTTCAATCCCCCAGCATCCCTTTGAGACCCGGAACATTGGTCATTTATTTACAATTACCAAAAAACAAAAAGACATGTCATGTACTTTCCTCATTGTTAACGTAGGGTCCTGTTTAAAGCGCTCGAAGTTTCAGAACAACCCCCTCGAAAGATTACCCTAAATGAACAGGGGTGAGTTTGACGGATGCTACAATTGACATGAATCTGCACGTGTCCACAACAATCGCAATTCTGGAAGATAACCTCTGGGTTCATTTGGTTGGGTCGAAACTTCGGGCTGGGCACGGATGAGAGGGTGAATTTGTTGCGGCTCTTCCCGGAAGTGTGCGCAAACGTGTGAACGGAATGGATGCGCAAACGGCGGGAGGAGGATCCGTGGATAGATTCGTAAATTGGACTAATTGTCAGATAAAGAGGCGTTTCACTGTGTGTATGTATATCTCCGTGTAGAGTAAAGGAAGCATTTAGAATAAGCGAGCACACGCTGTTTTCAGTAAGGGACATTTGCGATTGTGCCGCACGCGCTAGGACTCGCGAGCACATAAATTAAATTTCAAAATAATTCAGTGAGAAAGAAAGACATTTACGGACGCTATGCCAGAGCTTGCAGAAGGCTCTCAAAGTATGAGCTTAATTGTACAGAATACTCAACAATTTCCACAAAATGTCATAAAACGTGCGGATAATGAGCAGCACGTGAGTGGCGTAGCGGAGAAGCGTGAACTTGAGTGACACGGCTATTACCGGACGATTGGCTTCAAGAGTCGATAGATTATTATTATTTTAGTTTTATGTTTTTTTAATGTTTGGGTCGCGTGGCGTGGCCGGGTTGTTCGGGCACGTCCAACGTTTCGGCACCGCGTGCTCTGGCAGCTCCCTCTCCGGAATGCACGCGGGTGCGAAACGTCGGACACGGCGCTGGTGCCAAACCCACGTCTCGGTAGAAACACCGGGGGCGCCAAAAATACGGCCGCTAAACGTTTGGAATGGCCGTGCCGACACAAATATGGGCGGTTAACCTGACGTAGGTGTGTTCAATTGTGTTGATCTCTCCCGGTGGCTTTTGAACGGACCTTCTCGCTATCATAACAACGGTGTTACATCTTCGTGTCCGCCCATCGGAAGACATCTCGTCGACCGTGTTCATTGTGACTTGCCATCGTTGAGTGCATCGAATGTACAACAGCAGCAGCAGCAGCGATAATAATAATGTCCATCACTCTATCAATCCACTGCTGGATGAAGGCCTCTCCCCACCTCTAAGTCATGCTTTTTTATTTTTTATTTTTTTACTTCCACACTCTGCCACGCGGGTTGCGAAAGGGGTTTCCCAAGGCCAGGTTCGAAAGTCATCAGCAGTGTGGGCTGTTGGCCCGGAATGAATCCTATAGGATCTGCTCGAATAGGGGCCACGTCAATAGGATCTGCTCTAGCAAGGGCAGCTTTCATAGGATCCGCTGCAATAGGGGCCGCTTTAATAGGAGCCGTTCCTGCAGCAGCCACTTCCATCGGCACCTCTCGCCCAAACGAAGCGTACAGGGTCGTCCACCACTTGCTAATCATCTGGTGTACAGCATTATTTTTTTTTCATCTTTATCTCTCAAAGCTTGGTAAAGCTGAATTACGTAAAAAAAAACAAGCTTGCTTCTTCGATGGGGTTTTGCGCATTCATTGGTGACGGGGCGGAGACAAACTCAGCTCGCAAAGCCGGTGGGCATCGCGAGCGGCTGACATCCATGGTCAAACCCAGGAGCTCGGCGGCGCTGGCCCGTTGCCTCGACACGGCCGTCGTGTACCCCCCAGAGCAAGCCGGCGTCGTCGCCTCCCTCGTCGTGCGAGCCAAGTCCCGCGTATGGATCTTCGAGACCTGTGCTGTAACGCTCGATTCGACGCGGTGCAGACGAGGCCTCGTCACCCGATACAAAAATGAGACAAGAACGCGCTGCGTGGCTTACGCCAACACGTAACAATCAAGACGCGTCTTTCCAATATCCGTCTCGCCGCGTGACAAAAAATGTAAGTATTTTCTTACACGTCTGATTTGGCCACGCGGCTTTCTGAAATGTACTCTCGGAGAACAGACTTGGGAAGGAGGCGTTACTTATTTTGGAATAAAAATTATCCACAATGCTTAATAATATAGTTTTTACGTCTTAAATATTATTTAACCTCTAAAAACGTTTAACATTACCGAGCCATTTCCTGAAAAAGGCTTTTGTGTTATTCGTATTTTTCTAAAATATATTTTATTAGTATTATTATATTTGTATACTGTATATACATATATAATTTTAGCATTGCATCGTCCTTTAGAGTACTCGCAAAACAGCCCAAAGCAGAGCACATCCAATGGATAACCTTGAGACTCGATGAAGATCTCCTAAGTAAAATGCATCATCATCATTGAAATGACTATAAGATAACTGATTAATAATAAACGAAACTAGTTTTTATTTTACAAGGTAAGGCCCACTGAGCTGCTATGTAGCTTTTCTTCAGAAGCGACCTGGCCACAAGTGATAGCTCAACGAAGTGGCTTATCGTGTGGAAATTTATCGCAGCTAAAAACTCTAAACGCGTGTTTCGAAATGTGGAGGGAAAAACCGGAGGATCTCGAGAAAAATACACACGACCAGAGGGAGAACATGCAAACTACAAATATATAGCAGGCGTCAGGGTCGGGATCGAACCCAAGACCTCCTGTATACCAGGTGAGGTAGTTAACATCTCGCCACCGTGGCGCGATAACAAATTGTTGACCAAATTTGTGTCGCAAGACCCTCCACTACCTGGCGTAGCCGAAACAAATACAATTGTCACGAGTATGAGAATTTTATCCCACAAATTGTCGTTATTTGTTTCGGCTCACTCACCGTGAGTGAAGTTGGAGAACGATTCTCACGGACAGACTTTTGCAATGCACCTCGAACAGATTAAAATACCGGAACGTGTGGACGGGTGCCTCAAATCCACCTCGCCCTGGCGTTCGTTGGTGTGGACATTTGAAACAATTCTTTTTTGGATTTCTTTCTTTTTACGATTTTAATTTGATTCGCACTACGAATAACCTTCCGCTCGAAAACTACGTCCAGCATCTTCGGCAAAAAGCCAGGAATTCCACAATAACCGTGTCTCAAAAATAGGGCGATAATTTACGAATCATAATATCGACCACGGAAAGCCTAACATTACTAAATCACAAATTTGCGAAATCGACCATCCCTTATGCCCACGACCATTTAAAAAGAAAAGTAGTCGCGAGACTCTGCACAGCTCCTTCCTGACTCTAGCAATGTCACAACCGCCAAATTCATTCACCGCTCACTTCACAGCCACCCACGACTGTTACCGCCACCGCCGCCACCACCGCGGCCGCCCGCTACTTGATGAAGGCCTTCTCCCTCTGCAGGGTCTGGTAGATGCCGGGCGGGCGCAGCGGGCTTGGGTCGTCCCCGCGCGGGACGCTGCTCTCAAACTGCTCGCTGGCCTCCTTGGCGCGCAAGAACCTGGGGAGCCGGGGCCCGCCAAACCTCCTCGGCTTGGAGCGCGCCGCGTTCTTAGCAGCTGCCGGCGATGGCCCCGCCGTGCCGCGCACGGTGGCCACCGTGGAGTTGCCGATAGGGTGCACCTTGGTCATTGTCCATTGCCTCGCTGTGGATGTACACAAGGGGGAGGTGGAGGGACGGAGGCGTGAGAAGGCGTGTGTATGTAGCGTAGCGGTTAGCGCGCTGCGCTACTAACCCGGCGGGCCGAGTTCAATTCCCAGTGACGATTATCTGAAACGGTCGTGGGCCTCTCCGAGGTCGACTCAGCCTCAAATGAGTACCTGGTGTGGTGTGTAAACATCGCCACTTGGGGCGTGATGCTGGCCGCCCACCCCCTCGTATACCGTGCTGGCCTTAATAGGCACTTGCTAACAGCACTTACCCCAACAGTCTGTTAAAGATATATAGGGGATCTTTGTATATATGTTGAACTTCTCTCGTGCTTCTTTTGCACCCTACGTAGCCAATCGCGCTAATCGGAGGTGCGGGGGAAAGGACAACAAACTAAACACAAAAAGTAGTTCTGAAGGGTGGGTGGGTCGGTTTGTTTGGGTGTTGAGGCTGTGGGTCAGTGTTGTTTGGGACCGAATTGAGATAGCGAGCAATGGCGTGAGCGAACGACCGACCAGAAGGGTGAATTATTGGGCGGGTGAATGTGTAGCTTGAGCCAGAATTGTTGCGATTGGTGAGGGGGTGACTGAGCGAGCGAGCTCACTCACCTCCCAAGTATCCGGACTTGACGAGGGAGAAGGTGAGGCCCATGATGGCGAGGCCGGAGAGGAGCGCTCCCATCACCCAGGGAGCCACCGAGCCCGATGCGTTGAGATCTGCGCGCACGGCACGCGGAGCGACACCGGATTCCCCCGGGCTCAGCTCCCCGCTCCGCTCCCTCCGTTAGCCGCCGTCGCGCTTGGCCGAGTCTCCGAGACTCGTTTGTTTACTCAGGGGGGGTGGTGCTTTTGGCGAAGTTTCTCAGGGGTGGCTTGGGAGGCGGCGGTCGCCACGTCAATTTAAAATACAACTCTGGCTGGTTGTTGCGATTACCGGCGAAACATCACAGAACTCCAATTGTGAATGTAGTAGCGGGTTTACTCTCCAACACACAACCGGTGGGCTGAAGTAGCAACTAATTGGCATGTTTTGTTTACGTGACAACCCTCACTTATTGGCTGTGTCGGGTGGTGGTGGGATTAACGACACATTTAACCCAAAAAAGAAAACAAAACCTCTTTCATGGATCATTTTGGTCGCGAAAGCCGAACTACTACGCGTTAAACTGAGGTGACCAGCAGCGTGATGGTTGAGTGGGTGAGCGAGTGGGTGAGTGAGTGGATGAGTGAGTGGGTGGGTGAGTGAGTTAGTGGGTGAGCGAGTGGTTGAGAGAGTTAGTGGGTGAGCGAGTAGGTGAGCGAGTGGGTGAGTGAGTTAGTGAGTGAGCGAGTGGGTGAGTGAGTTAGTGGGTGAGCGAGTGGGTGAGTGTGGCGAAGTGACCTGTAGCGTGGCGGTTAATCACAGTGGGTGGATGAGACACGGGTGGAGGAATCAATGAGTGGCGTTCACGGGAACAGTGACCACGTAGCAGCGATAGAAGAGTGACAAGGAGGCGACTGAATACTTAATAAGGTGTCAACACGCAGAGATGCACTGTAAGGCAAGATAACCGAGGGGTGGCGATGACGATGGCGGTGATGATGGAGGTGATGGTGGTGATGATGTCTGGGGACTCACTGGTTTCGCAGGCTCGGCCAGAGTAGCCTTCGAGGCAGACGCAGGAGTAGGAGCCGATCTGGTCGATGCAGGTGCCCCCATTCCAGCAGGGCCCCGAGTCGCACTCGTTGATCTCTGCACGCGGAGGGCAACGCAACCCACACAGTGGGACCGTGAGCATCCCACCACGGCCCAGGGGCCCCGGGAGCCCCGGGGCTCTGGGGTCCAGGAACCAGGAGCCCTGGGGGCCGGGGGTCCTGGGGTCCAGGAACCAGGAGCCCTGGGGGCCGGGGGTCCTGGGGTCCAGGAACCAGGAGCCCTGGGGGCCGGGGGTCCTGGGGTCCAGGAACCAGGAGCCCTGGGGGCCGGGGGTCCTGGGGTCCAGGAACCAGGAGCCCTGGGGTCCGGTGGTCCTGGGGTCCAGGAACCAGGAGCCCTGGGGGCCGGGGGTCCTGGGGTCCAGGAACCAGGAGCCCTGGGGTCCGGTGGTCCTGGGGTCCAGGAACCAGGAGCCCTGGGGGCCGGGGGTCCTGGAACCAGGAGCCCTGGGGGCCGGGGGTCCTGGGGTCCAGGAACCAGGAGCCCTGGGGTCCGGGGGTCCTGGGGTCCCGGGGCCCTGGGCTCTGGGGTCCGATACGGCTCCGAGCACCCAACCGGCACGGCTCACGTCCCGTGTTCAAATCCGGATTCCGTCCGCCCTAATCGATCCGAGTTCTCAAGCGCTGCACCTGCGTACCGGCCGAGCTCAGCTTGATCCTCAGCCATGGCGAACCGCAATTCGTCACGATGGGTACCGACACATCCACAGCTAACTCAGCTGCTCACGGTGCCCCGCAGGGATTAGTAATAGGCCCCATCCTGTTCTCTGCCTATTTGGCCCAACTTGGAGCTGCATTGCAACACCAAGGGCTCAGCTGCCACTGTTACGCAGATGACGCCCAGATCTACCTACGGTTGGGATTGGATGGTTTCATGATTAGCACAGTCAATGTATCATGTCAAAAGCCTGGGTGTCTCGGAACGTCCTTGAAATGAATGATGATAAAACACAGCTAATTTTCGTCGGTACACCACGACAGGTATCCAATTCAATCCCTCTTCACTTGGTTATTGATGGTTGGAACGTTTATCAAACACGTGAGATCAACACTCTTCTCGATCAAACTTCATCCTTTCATTCCCACGTAGACAGAACGGCGAGAAACTCTTGCGTCCACCTGACAAACGTACCCCGGCTCTGTCACATCTTCATCAGTGCACGCACCGACGGACTGACAATTTGTCTTCTCCCACATTGACTACCGCAATTGCCCTGCTTCATGAAACCCCGAGCAAGCGCCTTAAACAGGCTGCAGTTTGTTCAGATTGCTGCCGCCAGGGTGCAAACTGGTACACGACACTTTGCGGATCACACCACAACACCTGTGCTCCCATCCCTTCGCTGGCCCCCTGTCCATACCCCGCATTGATTTGAAGATTCTCTTGCAAGTAATGAAGGCCTTCAGATAAACTTGCTCCTCCCTACATGCATGACCTCCTTCAGCCACGTGTCTATTACATCGAGATCATTAAGATCCTCACATTGTGCATTGCTCACTGTGCCTAGGCTTCACACGTGGGGTTGACGGTGATTTTGCAACTGCGGCACTACAGGTCTTCAAATCTCGACGAAACACGTATCTGCTTATAATGGCTTTCTCGCTTTAGTTATTTTCAAACGTCTTTCTCGCGTCTTCTGTCCTTGATCGATATTAAACTATATTCGGCCTTGCCACGCGTAGCGCCCTGAGAACAAATTGTCTTCGGGGCGCTTAATAAATTAAAATTATTTCTCTCTCGATGCAGACGTGAAGAATTCCAGATGCGAATGGCGGACAGCTAATATCGCGTAGAACAAGTTCTCGAATAACACGGGAATACTGGATATAAATTTCCACGTTCCCGTGGCAAGGGCCAGTTCATCCACAACAATTCAACTGATTACTTTCATCCTTTCATCTAGCCACTCAGCCATTGAGATTATAAAGCCGATTTATCCGTACGGTTGCCGAACGAATACATTGTTCTAAGGTCGCAACTCGTTACACACAAAGTGCTTGCCACAAAATGAACCACAAAACCTTGCTCATCTCGTCAAGGAGCGTAAATTATCGCGCATACTCCGGTCATCCTCGCAGGAACAGCGGCTTTTGGCTCGTTCATCGAACACAGGCAGCGGGTCATCGCATTGCGCGGCGCTTTCAGGTGCGCTTTGGCGGCCGTCTGGAACGCTCTTCCTTCCGATATGCGGAAGCCACTGGGACGATGAACTTTAAAATCATCCCCATTGAAAATTCATTTCTTCAGAACTTATTTTTCCGATTAGTTTGTTGCACCCCCCACCCCCACCACCTTTGATTATCGCCGTTGGCCACGCACAACGCGAAAGAAGTTCAACAAACATTGCGCAGTAACCTCCATCAGCATCCGAGCCACGAATGTCAACACAAGCACAGCGACTGCAGGAGTAAGACCACCAACGACAACGAGCAGCAGTAACCACAGCGCAGGGGGTAAACTTACCCTCTTCGACCGTCGGCGCTGCTGTGGGCTCAGGCTCTGCTTATAGACGATTCGGAGGGGGCCAAATTCCCCCAACGGTTCCATGCGACGGGGGGGACACGGCGAGCCGGGGACACGACCAGGGCAAGGCGTTAGCGTGCGGCGGGGAACCGCGGCTCGCCCGCTTCGCCTCACAGCGGGGCCCAGGCAGCAGGAGGGGGGGGGGGCGCTTTGGCCAAGCGTCTAGCGAGCAAGCTGCGGCTGCGTGCCGGCGAGTGAGGCGCGCGGGTCCACGGGGTCCGTGGGACGCTCTCACATGGCCGCCGGATCGCTCGCTCACCTTTTGTGCTGCTGCTGGTGGTGGTGGTGAGACCCCTCGCCCTCACCGGAGTCTACACGGCCTAGCGGCTCGACTGCTGCAACTCCCTCCACTGCAGCCTTCGTGACGCATCCCTCACCACCCCACTTCCCTCACTTCACCACTTCCCTCACCACCACATCCCTCACCTCCCCACTTGCCTCACCTCACCACTTCACTCACTTCTCCACTTCCGTCATCTACAAACTCGAGATCCAGAACCCGACAGGCAGACTGCTCACCTGGTGATCTCACAACGGAGACCGCATCGCCCCGATACTTAAATCCCTGCACGAGCTCCCAATCCACTCCTGAATCAATGTAAAGATCGCACTCACCTACCTCTCCCCTCTCACTTCCTTCCACGCACCCACCTACCTCTCCCCTCTCACTCCCCTCCACACACTCTCCTACCTCTCATCCTCTCTCCACGCACTCACCTACCTCTCCCCTGTGATCTCACTCTACTCCCCTCCACGCACTCTCTACTCCCCTCCAATAACATCTTTCTGTAGAAGGCTCCCGCCGCTCAGTGGGGAGTTCGCTTATTCCCCTCTGCTGACCCCCAGAGTCTGCAACTCCCTTGACCCCAAGCCACTCGTGCTGTCAGCTCCCCTGCTCTAGGCTGAGGTCCAGCACTGCGGCCTGTGACTGAGACAGCGCCTCTCTCTCTCTCTAGAACAGCGACGGTGCCCCGCTGTGCCTTAGGAAGCGGTCCCGTTGCGCTGATACGTAAACCCACGAGGCTCTTGTTCACTTGCTTTGCGAGGCCCCTGCTGCCTGTAGGATTGGTTCCAGAGTGACGTGGCGATCAACTCGAGACACAACTTCCTGCAGCGGCACTACTGGGGCAACAATTGCCGATTCGTGTGTTTGTGTTCAACTGGCCAAGATGGCGCGGAGAATTGAACAATTTGAATGAATTGGTCACCAGGTATTCGATTCTCAAATCAGTTGCCGTTTTCTTGCGTCCAGCGGCATCAAAAGTTCTCCAACATGACGCGTGGGGATTGTACATCCCGCAACGCGTGCCCACCGTCCAATGTGTGCGTCATGGTTATCGGCGTAAGGCACTACCACTAGAGTACAAAGTACGCATATCCATAAGAATAATAGTTCTATATTAGTGTGCCCTATATTTATATAACCCTACAAAAGCAGGATTGCAGGAATGCAGGGTACAATGGGGACAAATGCAAGGCGGCGAGATGGATGTGGTTGGGTGCGGAACTGCGCTCCGGACCGTTCCGGCTTCGATTAAGCATTTCCTGAGCATAATAATAAAAATAATTAATCGTTGGCTGCAGATTGACGAACGCCGAGCGAGCGTGCACACGAGCGAGCACGCGTTAGCGAGCGCGTGTTAGCGAGCACGTTAGCGAGCGCGTGTTAGCGAGCGCGTTAGCGAGCGCGTTAGCGAGCGAGCGCGTGTTAGTGAGCGAGCGCGTGTGCACACGAGCGAGCACGTGTTAGCGAGCGCGTGAGCGAGCGAGCACATGTTAGCGAGCGAGCGCGTGTTAGCGAGCGAGCGTGCACACGAGCGAGCACGTGTTAGCGAGCGAGTGCGCGAGCTACGAGGTGTGCCAGGAAAGCGCCGTTGCCGTCCACGATGACTCCGAGGCTGCATGTCGCGACCCCCCCTCGCAGCACTGCAACGAGGGCTCGCCGGCTCGGCAAAACATCAGAGAGAGCCGAAGCGAATCCCAGCTCAAAACGAGCATCGAGGCATCGTTGCACGAACCACATTGACGGCTCTGCAGGGCCAGCGGTGAGAATTCCAAATTGCTACGACGGGGGTGAGTTTACCCACAAGAAATTACGCGTTGGAACACAAAAGAACGTTTATTATGAATAACATTGGTCGCGAAAGCCAACGTGTTAAAATGAGCGTGGGTCACAATAAAGGTTTTTGGGTTAGATCGCGTTATTTTTAAATGTATCGCAACCCTCCATCACCCGACACGGCCAATCAGTAAAAAATGTGTCACGTTGACAAAAGACAAATATTTCACTGAGCGTGGTTATTTTCCAATTATAATTTTTTCTGTAAGCGTCACACGACAAATCGACGATCATCTCAGACGAGACGCTCATTGAAAGCGAATCTTCGAGTACTCGGTGACGCTTTTCTGGCAAGCCCCAAAAAGAAAATCTGAAATGTATTTGAATCAAATTTCATGAGTTTTTGTGATTTCGTTTTTTTTTATTTCACAGCGTTCAGTTTGTGGGGTGGGCTTCCCAGGAGCGGAGCGGCTGTACAGCAAGTAGGCTCAGGGAGGCAGCGAAGGATGGTTGACGAAGCAGCTCGCTGGCCAACAAGCGCGCGTGGAAGTCGCTGCGGTGTTCATTGTTTTAAAAGGAAGAGCGCAACCCAAAACAACAAAAACAACAACAACACAAACAATAACCAGCCACCGTTTGACTTCAGAAAGAGGAAGTACACGAATTAGAGAGACACACACACACACAAGATGAATGCCACAATCCCATGCCGTTAATAGAAGTGAGTGGCAATTGGCAGGAAGGGACGATCGGACAATAGCCAAAAGTCTGTGGGTCAGTGTTGAGGCTGTGGGTCAGCGTTGAGGGTGTGGGTGAGTGTTGGGGCTGTGGGTCAGTGTTGAGGCTGTAGGGTGAGTGTTGGGGCTGTGGGTCAGTGTTGAGGCTGTGGGTGAATGTTGGGGCTGTGTGTCAGTGTTGAGGCTGTAGGGTGAGTGTTGGGGCTGTGGGTTAGCGTTGAGGCTGTGGGTGAATGTTGGGGCTGTGTGTCAGTGTTGAGGCTGTGGGTCAGTGTAGGGGCTGTGGGTCAGTGTTGGGGCTGTGGGTCAGTGTTGAGGCTGTGGGTCAGTGTTGAGGCTGTGGGTCAGTGTTGGGGCTGTGGGTCAGTGTTGGGTGCTGTGGGTCAGTGTTGAGGCTGTGGGTGAGTGTTGGGGCTGTGGGTCAGTGTTGAGGCTGTGGGTCAGTGTTGAGGCTGTGGGTCAATGTTGAGGCTGTGGGTCAGTGTTGAGGCTGTGGGTGAGTGTTGGGGCTGTGGGTCAGTGTTGGGGCTGTGGGTCAGTGTTGAGGCTGTGGGTCAGTGTTGAGGCTGTGGGTTAGTGTTGGGGCTGTGGGTCAGTGTTGGGGCTGTGGGTCAGTGTTGGGGCTGTGGTCAGTGTTGGGGCTGTGGGTCAGTGTTGAGGCTGTGGGTCAGTGTTGGGGCTGTGGGTCAGTGTTGAGGCTGTGGGTGAGTGTTGGGGCTGTGGGTCAGTGTTGAGGCTGTGGGTCAGTGTTGAGGCTGTGGGTCAGTGTTGAGGCTGTGGTCAGTGTTGAGGCAGTGGATCAGTGTTGGGGCTGTGGGTCAGTGTTGGGGCTGTGGGTCAGTGTTGGGGCTGTGGGTCAGTGTTGGGGCTGTGGGTCAGTGTTGAGGCTGTGGTCAGTGTTGAGGCTGTGGGTCAGTGTTGAGGCTGTGGGTCAGTGTTGAGGCTGTGGGTCAGTGTTGGGGCTGTGGGTCAGTGTTGAGGCTGTGGGTCAGTGTTGAGGCTGTGGGTCAGTGTTGGGGCTGTGGGTCAGTGTTGAGGCTTTGGGTCAGTGTTGGGGCTGTGGGTCAGTGTTGGGGCTGTGGGTCAGTGTTGGGGCTGTGGGTCAGTGTTGAGGCTGTGGGTCAGTGTTGGGGCTGTGGGTCAGTGTTGAGGCTGTGGGTCAGTGTTGGGGCTGTGTGTCAGTGTTGAGGCTGTGGGTCAGTGTTGGGGCTGTGGGTCAGTGTTGGGGCTGTGGGTCAGTGTTGAGGCTGTGGGTCAGTGTTGAGGCTGTGGGTCAGTGTTGGGGCTGTGGGTCAGTGTTGGGGCTGTGGGTCAGTGTTGAGGCTGTGGGTCAGTGTTGGGGCTGTGGGTCAGTGTTGGGGCTGTGGGTCAGTGTTGAGGCTGTGGGTCAGTGTTGGGGCTGTGGGTCAGTGTTGAGGCTGTGGGTCAGTGTTGGGGCTGTGGGTCAGTGTTGAGGCCTTGGGTCAGTGTTGGGGCTGTGGGTCAGTGTTGGGGCTGTGGGTCAGTGTTGGGGCTGTGGGTCAGTGTTGGGGCTGTGGGTCAGTGTTGGGGCTGTGGGTCAGTGTTGAGGCTGTGGGTCAGTGTTGGGGCTGTGGGTCAGTGTTGAGGCTGTGGGTCAGTGTTGAGGCTGTGGGTCAGTGTTGGGGCTGTGGGTCAGTGTTGGGGCTGTGGGTCAGTGTTGGGGCTGTGGGTCAGTGTTGAGGCTGTGGGTCAGTGTTGAGGCTGTTGGTCAGTGATGGGGCTGTGGGTCAGTGTTGAAGCTGTGGGTCAGTGTTGAGGCTGTGGGTCAGTGTTGAGGCTGGGGTCAGTGTTGAAGCTGTGGGTCAGTGTTGGGGCTGTGGGTCAGTGTTGAGGCTGTGGGTCAGTGTTGGGGCTGTGGGTCAGTGTTGGGGCTGTGGGTCAGTGTTGAGGCTGTGGGTCAGTGTTGAGGCTGTGGGTCAGTGTTGGGGCTGTGGGTCAGTGTTGAGGCTGTGGGTCAGTGTTGAGGCTGTGGGTCAGTGTTGAGGCTGTGGGTCAGTGTTGGGGCTGTGGGTCAGTGTTGGGGCCTTGGGTCAGTGTTGGGGCTGTGGGTCAGTGTTGAGGCTGTGGGTCAGTGTTGAGGCCTTGGGTCAGTGTTGGGGCTGTGTGTCAGTGTTGAGGCTGTGGGTCAGTATTAAGGCTGTGGGTCAGTGTTGAGGCTGTGGGTCAGTGTTGGGGCTGTGTGTCAGTGTTGAGGCTGTGGGTCAGTATTGAGGCTGTGGGTCAGTATTGAGGCTGTTGGTCAGTGTTGAGGCAGTGGGTGAGTGTTGGGGTTGTGGGTCAGTTTTGAGGCTGTGGGTGAGTGTTGGGGCTGTGGGTCAGTGTTGAGGCAGTGGGTGAGTGTTGGGGTTGTGGGTCAGTGTTGAGGCTGTGGGTCAGTGTTGAGGCTGTGGGTCAGTGTTGAGGCTGTGGGTCAGTGTTGAGGCTGTGGGTCAGTGTTGAGGCTGTGGGTGAGTGTTGAGACTGGGGTCAGTGTTGAGGCTGTGGGTCAATGTTGGGGTTGTGGGTCAGTGTTGAGGCTGTGGGTGAGTGTTGAGACTGGGGTCAGTGTTGAGGCTGTGGGTCAGTGTTGAGACTGGGGTCAGTGTTGAGGCTGTGGGTCAGTGTTGAGGCTGTGGGTCAGTGTTGAGGCTGTGGGTCAGTGTTGAGGCTGTGGGTGAGTGTTGAGACTGGGGTCAGTGTTGAGGCTGTGGGTCAGTGTTGAGGCTGTGGGTCAGTGTTGAGGCTGTGGGGTCAGATTGTGTCCCTTTGCAACGTGCCGTCGTCTGTTCGCGTCTCACCGATCTCACAATTGGTCCCGGCGTATCCGGCGGGGCAGCGGCAGGAGTACTCGTTGGTGCTGTCCACGCAGCGGCCCCCGTTCCGGCACGGGCTCGAGGCGCACTCATCGACATCTGTGGAAGAGACGCACCGCACAGCGGCCGTCCGCCGGGTTACAAGTGGGGACAACAGGCCACGTCTCCGCCTCCCCCCTCCTCCCCCTTTACCCCCTCCCTCCCCCTCCCTCTCTCCCTTCCCCTCCTTCCTCCCCCCTCCTCCCTCCCTCCCTCCCTCCTCCCCCCTCCCTCCTCCTCCTCAACCTTATCCCTGCTACCACGAAATCTCTCCATGGCGTCAGCCACTTCCTTGCAGAACACAATCAGACAGACTATCCATCTTGCCTTGACTCTGCAAGACATGTGTAAAACAGAGCTTCATAGCTCATCGGATTTCTCCAGAGTTAATACAAGTTTCTGGTTCTGCTACTCCTCATTTTCCCCATGGCACCAGCTGTCAATAACTCACCCACACACTCATAATCTCACTCATCCAACTCACTCACGCACTTATTCACTAATTCACTCACGCATTAACTCATTAAATCACTCAATGGCACACACAGGCACTTACCTAGCTAAGTCACTCACCCAATCACCACCATTCCAACTCATTCACCCATAAACGCACGTATCCACCCACTAACACACTCACCAACTCACTCATCCATCACCCCACCAACTCACTCATACACTTACGCACTCACCTACTCAATCACCCACTCAATAACCAACTCTCTCACCCACTCATCCACAAACAAACTCATTCAATTATCCACCCGCCCACTCACTTACCAACTCACTCACCCACCAACTGACTCATTACCCATTCATTCACCCACTTACCAACTCACGCACCCACTCACTCACCCACCAACTGACTCATTACCCATTCATTCACCCACTTACCAACTCACGCACCCACCTACCCACAAACAAACTCAACTACCTACTCACTCATCCACTTCCTTCCTTACCCACTCACTTGCCCAATCGCCCATCGACCCACTCACCTGTCTCACAATGATCTCCCAGAAATCCGGGCAAGCATTCGCACCTCCAGCGATTGGCCTCGTTCAAGCAGCGCCCTCCGTTGTAGCACGGACTTGACGCACATTCATCAATATCTGAAACACACACGCACACACACACACAAGCTACTAGACACACGCCTTAAATGTTATCACTTAAAAGTTAAACAAATACAAAATTAATCGAAAATTTTCAATGAGCATGGGGTTGTTGCTCATTGGCATACGTAGACCTTGATCAAGTGGTGAGAATTCCACATTCCTCTGGCAGGGGTCAGTGTCTTGTTTGGACAGCCACTGTTGACTTGCCATGAAGTGCTACTCACTTTTTTAAGTTTTAGTAGAAATAAAAATAAGAAGAACGGAGTGCCGGCCAAGGGAGGGAATTCATCCCGGATGACGTTCCCAGGGGGAGATGGAGCGATGAAATCATCAGATCACGGATCACGTGTAGGAGCCAGGTGGAGTGTTACATTACAGGATCACGAGAGGAGCCGGCTACCTGGTTGGAGGCCTTCATCCAGCAGAGGATTGACCATGGCTACTGCTGCTGATGATGATGCTCTATTGCTACTGTTGCCGCTGCTGTTGCTGATGATGCTACTGCTGATGATGATGCTGCTACTGCTGCTGCTGATGATGCTGCTGCTATTGCTACTGTTGCCGCTGCTGTTGCTAATGATGCTGCTACGTAGCTCTTTGTCAGAAGCGACCCTCGACATCGCAAATGATCGCTCAACGAAGTGGGCTCGTCATCACAGGGACAATTTATAAAGAGTGATAAAATAAAAAAGTAAAAAAATAACAATATTGGAAAATATTGCGTAAAATAACAATAATAGAATGTAATAACATAAAATAATACGATAATAAAGAGTTAATGACAAAAATAATTCAAACAATAAAATAATAATAAGCAATTATAATAGGATAATTTAAAAATAAAAATAAAAAACCAAATTCGATCATTGAGAGCCGTGGCAGGGCAAGCGAGACGTGGCCCCACCCCTGCATCCCCAGCCCTCCCCAGCCCCCCCCAGCTCCCCCCAGCCCCTCCCCCCCCCCCTCGCCAGGCACATCTCACGACGGCGCCCACTCGCCTATCTCGCAGTCCACTCCGGAGAATCCGAGGAGGCACGCGCAGGAGTAGGAGGCCACGGCATCGGTGCAGCGCGCTCCGTTCTGGCACGGCCTCGAAGCGCACTCGTCGATGTCTGTGAAGGGCGCAAGACACAAAGACACGCAAAGATAAAGATCCCCCGCATAGCCTGTGCAGACTGCTGGGGCAAGCGCTGTTGGCGAGCGGCACCTATGAAGGCCGGCACGGCACACGAAAGGGGTGCGTGGCCAACGTCACGCCCGGCCGCCTTTGTCTCCCCAGTGGCGATGTTTTTACACACCGAACCAGGTACTCATTTGAGGCCGAGTCGACCTAGTGGAGGCCCAGGACCCGGTTCAGATAATCGTCAATGGAGTTGGCCGTGAGCGGGAATCGAATTCGGGTCGCCGGGTTCGTAGCGCGGCCCGCTGACCGCTACACCAACGCTCCCCACACACGCGCGCGCATACACGCGAACACGTGCATACACGCACACAAGCGCATGCGTAAGTGACGACACAATAACAGTAATGATGATGGTGTCGATACCGTGTGTAGATTTATATACGGCGGGGACGGCGTTTACGCAAATTGCAACTCAGAAACGCATCACACTACCATGCTGGTCTCGTCAAGGAGCATAAACCATCACCGTGTGAACTCCGGGCATCATCCTCGCAGTAGTAGCAGCAGCAGATTGTAGCCGGCCATCAAAACAAAGACGGCGGTCACCGCATCGCAGCGCGGTCGGATGCGCTTCTGCGGCCCGTCTGGAACGCTTCTTCCTTCAGATATTAGCAAGCCCCGGGAGTCGTGCACTCTTAAGTCACCATCGAGATTGAAAACTCACTTCCTAAGAACCGCTTTTAGTGTTTAGTTTGTTGTCCTTCCCCCGCGCCTCCCGTGAGCACGGCTGGCCACGTGCGGTGCGAGAGAAGCTCAGCGTGCACACATACAGCGGCCCACGAGTTTGCTCGTCCGGACGCAACGCCGCCGAAACCGCTCGCGCTCGCCCCCTCCACAGGTAAGCCGCTCGAAGGCATTCCCTCGCCGCGAGCAGCGCGGTCAATCCGCTGCTGGGAATGCTGCCGCTAAGCCGACGATCGGCCCGATGCGCCGACGAGGTCCCAAGGACGAGGCGTGCGGCGTGCGCCGTGGACGTGCCGGCCGAGCGGCTCACCCGTCTCGCAGTTGGTGCCCGCGTAGCCGGGGAGGCACTCGCAGGCGTAGGCGTTGACGTTGTTGTCGCAGCGAGCACCGTTACGACACGGGCTGGAGGCGCACTCATCCACGTCTGCGGAGGGACAAAGACAACGATCCCCCGTGTAGCCTTCGCAGACTGTCGGGGCAAGTGCTGTTAGCGGGCAGCACCTGTGAAGGCCGGCACTGTGGCACACGAGGGGGTGGGTAGCCAGCACCACGCACGGCCGACTTTGTCTCCCCGACTCGGCCACTTAAATCACCATTTCCACCATGACTATCACCACCATTATCACCAACATCACCACCATCACCACCATCACCACCATCTCAATCACTATCACCACCATCACCATCATCACCACCACCATCTCAATCACTATCACCACCATCACCACCATCACCACCATCACCACCATCTCAATCACCATCACCACCATCACCACCATCACCACCATCTCAATCACTATCACCACCATCACCACCATCACCACCATCACCACCATCTCAATCACCATCACCACCATCACCACCATCACCACCATCTCAATCACTATCACCACCATCACCAGCATCACCACCATCTCAATCACTATCACCACCACTATCACCAACATCACCAGCATCACCACCATCACCACCATCTCAATCTCTATCACCACCACTATCACCAACAACACCAGCATCACCACCATCACCACCATCTCAATCACTATCACCAGCATCACCAGCATCACCACTATCTCAATCACTATCACCACCATCACTATCACCACTATCATTACCAGCACTACCACCGTAAAAATGTAGCACATTGGAGTAAACATACCGCACCTCCGATTACCACGTTTGGTTATGTACGGTGTGAAAGAATGAAGACTTGAACAGCATTTTATGGAGCATGTGTTAGCAAGGTAATCTGTCTCGTTACTAATTAGCAGAGGTCTTACACGTAACCTGATGTAATTGCACATGTAACTGGCATAGCGATGCATTCTGATTGACGATGATAATGAGATTGATGATGATTCTGCTGATTCTGCAACTACTGATGATGATCATGCTGGTGCCGATCGCTGCGACGTGATCAACCAACGTTCATTTCGCCACTACTTCTACCGCTGATGACAGCGGTGATTTCACTGCTGCTCATGGTGACTCTGCTGCTACTGCCAAAACTGCTGTTGATGATGATGATAATTCTACGGCTGCTGCTGCTGCTGATGATGAGAAGAATGATTCTGCTGCTGATGACTCTGATGATTCTGCTACGTTTCCTGCTGCTGCTATCAACAATAATTATTACATTTTGCCAGGTAAGGTCCACAGAGCCACACAGCTCTTTCTCAGAAGCCACCTGGCCACACGTGGCAGCTCAACAAAGTGGCTCGTCCACGCGTGGACACTCATCGCTGCAGTGCTGTGAAAGCACGCTGAGGGAAAACCCGGAGGATGCCACCACTACCTAGACCCCCCCAGATCTCCCCGCCGCCCCCCCCCCCCCCATGCCCTCTCCCCGTACCAGTCTCGCAGTTGGTCCCAATGAACCCCGGTACGCACACGCAGTCGTACGTGTTGATGCCATCCTCACACGTGCCGCCGTTCTGACAGGGGCGCGAGCTGCAGTCGTCCAGGTCTGGCGTGGAGAGAACACGGGGGAGACACGGAGCTGAGTGCTGGTAGTGGTGGTGGTAGTGATGGTGATAGTGATGGTGATGTTGGCGGTAGTGATGGTGATGTTGGTGGTAGTGATGGTGATGTTGGTGGTAGTGATGGTGATAGTGATGGTGGTAGTGATGGTGATAGTGATGGTAATGTTGGTGGTAGTGATGGTGATGTTGGTGGTAGTGATGGTGATAATGATGGTGATGTTGGTGGTAGTGCTGGTGATGTTGGTGGTAGTGATGGTTATAGTGATGGTGATGTTGGTTATGTTGGTGATAGTGATGGTGATATTGATGAAGATATTGATGGTGATGTTGGCGGTAGTGATGGTGATGTTGGTGGTAGTGAGGGTGATAGTGATGGTGGTGATAGTGATGGTGATGTTGGTGATAGTGATGTTGGTGTTGGTGAGGGTGATAGTGATGTTGGTGGTAGTGATGTTAGTGATGGTGATGTTGGTGGCAGTGATGGTGATATTGATGGTGATGTTGGTGATATTGATGGTGATGTTGGTGATATTGATGGTGATGTTGGTGGCAGTGATGGTGATATTGATGGTGATGTTGGTGATAGTGATGGTGATGTTGGTAATAGTGATGGTGATATTGATGGTGATGTTGGTGATAGTGATGGTGATAGTCAGGGTGATAGTGATGGCAGTGATAGTCATGGTGGTGATGGAGATGTTGATGATAGTGATGGTGGTGGTGATGATAGTGATGATGGTGATAGTGATAGTGGTGATGATGGTGGTGATGGTAGTGATGGTGGTGATGATGGTGGTGATGGTGGTGATAGTGATACAGGCGATGGAGACGTTGACGATAATGACGGTGGTGATGATAGTGATGGTGATGGCGGTGACAGTAAAAGTAACGACGAGAGTGATAGTAATGATGGTGATGGTGGTGATGATAGTGATGATAGTGGTGATGGTGGTGATGGTGGTGATGGTGATGAGGGCGATGTGTGCTGCAGGCACTGACTGATTTCACAGTTGAGGCCCTGCGTGCCCTCCACGCACGTGCAGATGTAACGCGCGATCCGGTTGCTGCATTGGCCGCCGAACTGGCACGGGTTTGAGTTGCATGGCGGGTTCGCTAGGAACACTGGCGGAGAGGCCACATCACCATCACCATCGACATCACCATCCACATCACCATCAACATCGACATCAACATCACCATCCACATCACCATCGGCATCAACATCACCATCAACATCACCATCCACATCACCATCGGCATCAACATCACCATCCACATCAACATCACCATCAGCATCACCATCGACATCACCGTCGACATCACCGTCCACATCGTCGTCGACATCACCGTCCACATCACCGTCCACATCACCGTCCACATTACCGTCCACATCGACATCAACATCACCGTCCACATCACCATCGACATCACCGTTGAGATCACCATCAACATTACCATCAACATCACCATCATCACCGTCATTCGCAGCAACAGCAGCAACAGAAGCAGCAGTCTCAGCGTCAATAATTTGTGACGCTAGGTCATTTCTGAAAGAAAGCTCCTACTTAGCAGCTCAGCGGGGCCTTACCTGGCAAAATGAATAACACATACATATGTAGTTGAGCAAAACATGTACGTGGTTTAGTGTTAACTGGCGATCACGATTTAGAGCAGCAGGAGATGTTGGTGCTGATGGGGCGTGGTGGTGTTGAGGACGTGTGTATGTGGGTCGTGCTGGCAGGGCTGCTAGGGGACCGTCCATAAATGACGTCACGCGATTTTGGACGATTATTGACCCCCCCCCCCCTCCGTCACGCGACGTCACAAAAAGTCAGACCCCCCACCTCAAATATGACGTCACAAAGCTCTGCCCCCCCCAAGAAAATATAAAACATGCTATAAATCGCTTTAAACTATTGTCATTGTAGTGCGTATTTAATGTGCCGCAGCACTCTGATGTTGTAGGAGAAAACATTTTTTTTTTAAGTTGCGCATTTCGATGTGACGTCACAGTTCTCAAACCCCCCCCCTGCCTCGTCACACATCGTCACAAATGTCTGACCCCCCCCCCCCCCCCGCTGCTAGACGTCATGACGAATATCAGTGGCGAATATTTGAACCGGTCCTGGGCCTCCTCTAGGTCGACTCAGCAGCAAATGAATGCCTAGTGCGGTGTGTAAACATCGCCACTGGGGAGACAAAGGCGGTCGGGCGTGGTTGCTGGCCACCCACCCCGTCGTGTGCTACAGTGCCGGTAGCCTTCATAGGAGCTCGTAACTCACGGCACTTGTCCCCCAACAGTCTGTGACGGGCTACGCATGGGGGGGGGGCCTGTGGTCTTCGTGGGCAGGGTGTGCGCGTACCCTCATACTGCGCGGCCCACCCCTCGCCCGTGACGGAGTCGTCGCTGGTGAAGGTGAGCGTGGTGCGGCCCCGTCCCGTCACGGGGTTGTACCGCGAGAGGTCATTGCCGCACATCAGCTGGGACGTGTTTGTGCCCTCCATGCGCACCTCCAGCCTGCACGCACACACGCAGCACACACACACACACGCGCAACACATACACACGCGCAGCACACACACACACGCAGCACACACACACGCAGCACACACACGCGCAGCACACACACACACGCAGCACACACACGCAGCACACACACACGCAGCACACACACACGCAGCACACACACGCAGCACACACACGCGCAGCACACACACGCGCAGCACACACACGCGCAGCACACACACACGCGCAGCACACACACACGCAGCACACACGCAGCACACACGCAGCACACACACAGCACACACACACGCAGCACACACGGAGCACACACGCGCAGCACATACACACAACACACACACACGCAGCACACACGCGCAGCACACACACGCGCAGCACACACACACACAGCGCCCGGACAGGCGTGTCTATAGTTAACGGTGGCGAGATGTTAACTACCTCGCCTTGTATACAGAAGGTCGTGGGTTCGATCCCGACCCTGAAAACACACGTTTAGAGTATTTGGCTGTGATAAATTTACACATGATAAACCACTTCGTTGAGCTATCATTTGTGCCTGGGTCACTTCTAAAAAAGAGCTACAAAGCTCAGAGGGCCTTATCTGGTGGAATATAAAATAATAGAAGTTAAATCTTGTGTGGCACAGTGGTAACACTTGTGGCTCACAGCAACAGGAGCCTCGGTTCGACTCCCGTCCGGGGAGACTTTTTGCGTGCAGTGGTGTGTGTGTGTGTTCTATCTCTCTCTCCGCGGGTTTCGTCTGTCATCTCCGAGTTAAGTTCCACAACCAGAAAGACCCCATCCAATGTAACCGATATCGGACAAAACTTCCCAAAGGCGAAAAATCACCCGGGGAAAATAAATGTTTCGTACAACTGCGGGATCTCATACGGCGGCGACCTCATACGGCGGCGTTGTCGTCGTCGTCGTCAACGTCATCATCGTCGTCATCATCATCATCGTCGTCGTCGTCATCGTCGCCGTCGTCACGAACGTGCGAGCGACGTTACTCGTACCTGTCAAAGATGCACTGCGGGTGCGGCTCCACGTCCACCATGGTGAGCGTCACGCGCACGCGGTCCGCGTCCGTCACCGGGATGAGCCACTCGCAGTTGGCGTTGTTGGGGTACACGTCGGGCCGCCCCACCGACTCGATCTCCCCCGTCAGCTCGTCCAGGGTGTTCCCGCACGGCGCCTGCGCCACTGCGCCCTCTACAGAGACAACAACAATACCGGGGCTCCTCTACTTATGAACAGTCGACTTACGGATTTTCAGAGATACGAACAAATCTGTCTGTACGTCCAGTTGCCTGTTCGGATCAAGAGTCGTAAGTTCAAACGCTGCGCAACAGATGGCGGCGGTGGCATCTACAACTGCAGAACGTGAAGAACCAGTGGCATCTACATCTGCAGAACGTGAACAACCAGTGGCATCTACAACTGCAGAACGTGAAGAACCAATGGCATCTACATCTGCAGAACGTGAACAACCAGTGGCATCTACATGTACAGGAGATTATGTTACTTTTAAAGCCCCGTGTTTAGTGTACATGCCGTACAACATATTTGGAATCAACAGAAGTGAAGTTGGACTTACGAACAGACCACTGGAACTCGTTCGCAAGTAGAGGTTTCCCTTCACAAATGTTTTTACCACGTAAGGCCCACTGAGCTATACAGCTCTTCTTTTCACAAGTGGCCTGGCTACAAATGATAAGCTCAACAAATTGGCTCATCGTGTGGACATTTATAGCAGCTAAATGCTCTGAAGCAGTGGTTCTCACCCTTTACTGCAGCCTTGTACCAATTTGGTTCTCTCAATCGTAAAAAATATGTAAAATGTTACTAAATACATCGGGGTTGATGAAACAAAGTAGTTTTACTTACGTGTCCGTGCTTAATTTGTATTTTCGATTATTTACCTTCTAAAAATATTTGGCCATGTCTCGCATTCCCAGAAAGGGCATCTCGCACTCACAGGGGTTGCGTGCCCCCCAGGTTAAGAACCGCTGCTCTAAACGCACAGTGATGTTGATTCTAAATGTGGAGGGAAAAACCGAAGGACCCGGAGAAAAATCCACGCCCCCTTTGGCCAGACCGTTGGGGCGAGGAGGTCTCGCTGTGAGCGCGTGGCGGCGCCCGTCAAAGGCCCGTCGCTTGGGCGCACGAGGGGTTCAGTGTGGCCGGAAAACGACCCAAAAAGAACAGTCCCTGCCCGGCCACCTTTTGTCTGCCCACATAAATATTTCGTCACCGATGCTGGCCGTGAGCGGGAAGCCAACTAGCGTCGCAGGGGGTTCGTGGCACTAATCATTGCGCCTCCGCTCCCTCCACGCACACGGCGCAAATCGCACGCAGACACCGCGACGACGCTCGCGGTGCCACGGGACGGACAGGTGGACCGGCACCACTTTGCCGATGAGGGGGTCGCTCAACCAGCACTCGAAGACCGGTCATCCTCGCAGCAGCGGATTTTGGCTCACCATCGAACAAAGACGGTGGTCACCGCATCGCGCGACGCTTTCAGACGCTCTTCTGTGGCCGTCTGGAACGCTCTTCCTTCTGACATTCGGAAGCCACTGGGAGCTTTGCACTTTTAAATCATCATCTTGATTGACAAATACATTTCTTTAGAACTGCATTGTGTTTAGTTTGTTGTCCTTCCCCCAGCACCTCCCATTAGCGCGGTTGGTTACGCAGGGTGCAAACTAACTTCAACATACACACGTACAACTCCCTTCACCCCAGCCACCCGCGCTGTCGACTCCCTGCTTGCTGCTGCCCCCTGTTCAAGTCCAGACTCAAGGCCTTCTTGTCCTGCCTCTTAACTGTCTCTCCACGTCTACAGAGTGAGCATGCGCTCTGGCGCTGGAGGCAAGCTTTACAAACCCTGCATTGCATCGCGACACAAGGCAAGTGGAAGCTATTCTGGAGGGTTTATATACCGGGCATTTCAAAGTGCTATCCGAAGCAGATGATTGTTTCCGAGAGACGTAGGCTCGCAAGCTCAGACGTCGCGCATGAATTATTCCATTCGTGGCCTTTTACTACATTGACCTCTCACCACTTTCCCGTGACCCCTTCTCCCCTTTTGTCTTCGTCATCTTTCTCCTTTACCTGTCCCGGTCCCATATAACCACATCGCCGGCGAGCGAGCCACGCCACACACCGCCCCTGGCGATATCGCTGCAAAGCCACGTGGCAGCGTCGTCTGCTGCCGCCTTCGGTTTGTTTGTTTGAAGCGTCCTTGTTGTTATCGTTATTGTCGTTGGTGTTGGTGTTGTTTTTGTAGTTGTTGTCGTAACTACCGGCGAAACGTCGCAGTACTCGAATTGTAAATGTCATGGGTTTCACTCTCCAACACACACGTTACGTGACAACAACCTCACCTATTGGGCTCATTCGGTGGCGGTGGTGGGTTAACGACACATTTATACTTATGTGATCAAACCCAGAATCTCCTATGAATAACATTGGTCGTGTTAATTTAAATATGAGATGCATACACAACTGATGTTTACATGCAGTACGAAAGAAGAATTATTTGCTAGATGTTTCTCCACATTGGCGGGGCAGTGAGCACAATCTCTATGCCCTCCCCCCCCCCTTCACAACGCCATGCCGCACCAATCTCGGAATGTCTCCGTCCGTGATCGGTGCTCCGCACCGGGTTCGCGTGGACTTGAAATAAAAACTTTCAAAGAAAAAAAGATGCAATCCAAACAACACATGGACTGTGTGGGAAACCGAGGTGGGGCTGCTCGACACCAACAAACTTTGAATCCCCTGCAACTTAAAACCACAACATTTAAAAAAAAGTACATGTTGTGGTTTCCCGCTGCAACACACCAGTGGGCTAAAGCAGTGAACTAATTGTCTTTTGTCAATGTGACACTTTTTACTGATTGGCCGTGTCGGCTGGTGGAGGGTTACGACACATTTATAAATAACGCGATCTAAACCCAAAAACGTTGATTACGAGGGAGAAACACAAACAAGTAGACAAAAATAATTGTTTTGCCCGTGTTGAAACGGCTGTACGCCGTATGGACCTGAAAACTCAATTTCCCCGTACAGTAGAAGAATACGGGGTAGTCCGTGTGGGTTGACAGCTGTACCAACATCATTCTCTGCGATATTTGATATTCGCGAGCACCTCCGAAACGCATCCGCCGCGCATCACGAGGCAACGCTCCGCTGTAGAACTGATGAACACCCGCAGCTCGGCACCACGAGGAGTAGAGGCGGTTCGCGCAAAAGGGCAGCAGCAGGCCAGGTGAGCTTGGAGAGGGCAGGGAGGCCGGGATGGACAGGGACGAGGAGGGCACGGCTCGAGATGGGCAGCAGGGAGAGGGAGGGAGGGAGATGATGAGAGAGGGTGATGGTGATGATGAGAGGGTGATGGTGATGATGAGATGGTGATGATGATGCTAGGGGGATGATGATGGTGATGATGAGAGGGTGATGGTGAAATGGTGATGATGATGATGCTAGGGGGATGATGATGATGATGATGAGATGGTGATGATGATGATGCTAGGGGGATGATGATGATGATGATATGGTGATAATGATGATGCTAGGGGGATGATGATGATGGTGATGATGAGAGGGGAGGAAACGGAGGGAGAAGAGCGAGCAGGAAGGAGGGAGCTGCAGAGATGGAGAGCGGCGTCTGTTTCCACAGTGGGCGGGGAGAGAGGGGAGGGGTTCAGAGTGGGAGTGGCCACAAGTCACGTGATTCACATGAGTCTCAGGTTGATTGGGATAAAGAGATGTAAATAAGTAATACGGGTTTTTTGCGTTAGTTCGCGTACAAAACCCCTGTATTATGCATGATATTGGTCGCGAAAGCCTACGTGTTAAACTGAATAATTATATTATTGAGTAGAGTCCTCAAACATTACGTTACGATGGTGGGAATAGATTGATAAAATACGCGAGCACACACATCGAACACTTAGACGTGAGGGGCGAGCCACGTCTGAAGCACTCCTTGGTTGCCCTCGGCTAAAATAACGATGGCAGCACGGTGAGTGTACCACTACTCTCACCACCAGCAGCATGGTGAGTGTACCACTACCCTCACCACCACCACCAGCACGGTGAGGCAGTGTACCACTACTTTCACCACCACCACCAGCATGGTGAAGGAGTGTACCACTACCCTCACCACCACCACCACCAGCAGCATGGTGAAGGAGTGTACCACTACCCTCACCACCACCACCACCACCAGCATGGTGAAGGAGTGTACCACTACCCTCACCACCACCAGCAGCAGCATGGTGAAGGAGTGTACCACTACCCTCACCACCACCACCAGCATGGTGAAGGAGTGTACCACTACCCTCACCACCACCACCACCAGCATGGTGAAGGAGTGTACCACTACCCTCACCACCACCAGCAGCATGGTGAGTGTACCACTACCCTCACCACCACCAGCAGCAGCATGGTGAGTGTACCACTACCCTCACCACCACCACCACCACCAGCATGGTGAGTGTACCACTACCCTCACCACCACCACCACCAGCATGGTGAGTGTACCACTACCCTCACCACCACCACCAGCATGGTGAGTGTACCACTACCCTCACCACCACCACCACCAGCAGCATGGTGAAGGAGTGTACCACCACCCTCACCACCACCACCACCAGCAGCATGGTGAGTGTACCACTACCCTCACCACCATCACCACCAGCATAGTGAGTGTACCACTACCCTCACCACCACCATCACCAGCATGGTGAGTGTACCACTACCCTCACCACCATCACCACCAGCATGGTGAGTGTACCACTACCCTCACCACCACCACCACCAGCATGGTGAGTGTACCACTACCCTCACCACCATCACCACCAGCATGGTGAGTGTACCACTACCCTCACCACCACCACCAGCAGCACGGTGAGTGTACCACTACCCTCACCACCACCACCACCAGCATGGTGAGTGTACCACTACCCTCACCACCATCACCACCAGCATGGTGAGTGTACCACTACCCTCACCACCACCACCACCAGCATGGTGAGTGTACCACTACCCTCACCACCACCACCAGCAGCACGGTGAGTGTACCACTACCCTCACCACCACCACCACCAGCATGGTGAGTGTACCACTACCCTCACCACCACCACCAGCAGCAGCATGGTGAGTGTACCACTACCCTCACCACCACCACCAGCATGGTGAAG